ACTTAACCTTTCTCTGCCTCCCACTCCTTATGGGTAAAATGGCAATAAGGCTGCCTGCACCTGAAGCAGGTTGGATGAGGTGGTCAGAGCCTCCCTTGACAGGAAATAAGAAACTTGTCAAATTGATGAAGAGAACAAACCGCCTAACAGTGCACAGACCGCATCCTGAGCTCGTGGTTAGAACATCCTACAGCAAAAAGGCAGGAGCAAAAGGGAAGAATCCCCACACTTGCACAAGCACAGAAACCTGTGATTAGTGTCCTTGGGCTGAACTGTGCTCATTATAATAGTAAAAAACGCACCCCCGGGTGGAGATTTAAAATGCTTATGAGACATGCGATGGACGTACTAGCACGTACAGCCGCTGCACGTGTGGGTCTAAGAAACCACTCCTAACATGCTTAATAGCAACACCCCTTCCCACCCCTTCATGAATAATCATGCAAATTTCCTATAAAGGAACATCCCCCACTATTAGAGCTGTCTTGCCTTTGAACGGCCCGTTCTGACCAGCTGCTAGAGTGTGTTTTGGTTTTGCAATCAACTCTCTTGCTTGCTTTTACTTTTGACTCACTTTCAAATTCTTTTCTGTCCCAAAGTCAAGAACCTGAACTAGCCCACCGGCTACACACCTACACAAAAATGAGTCATCATTAAATGAGGTGACCCCTGTAAACCACTTGAACCTGCGCCCAGCATGGGAAAGCTTCAATAAATATTAGCTATTGTTACTATTACAATTATCTGCGCTCTTCTTTCTATTCTTTTCACCCCAATTCAATAACCTCCCTTAGACTGTTCACACACTACTCAAACCTTTAGTTTGTATCGGGTCATTATTTTCTTCTTTCTACTTTTCTGCATGTTTATATTATTCCTAAGATCTGAAAAACATTTTTAGAAACTATTCGACATCAGGATATGTTTGACGAGTCCTTTTCAGAACTGCATGGGGTGAACTTATGTTCAGGACATGATGCTTATAAACGCCCTAGCTCCTGGTAAGTCGACCTGGAGTCATTTACTGACTTTAAGTTCACTTCCTGCCTCTGATAAGCCACACAGGGCCTGTGATCGATAATTTTAATGTAGAATAATCACAGATGTTCACGTCCATTTCCTTTCTCTGTTGAACACCATCTAGAGAGCACTCCAATACTCCTTCAGAATTCCCAAGGGTACATTTGCATTGCAGTTAATAAGGTTGCCATTGTGTATGGTTAAGCTTTTAAATGAGTATTTTGATGTGGTACCAGGGAAGGGTCACAGCCTGGGGCCATCTGCTCACGGAGTAAGCCCTGAACAGCTTTAACAATGACCAGAAACAGTGTTCCAAGGACTTAACCTAAGGATACCAACACGGCGTCTCTCGCTGTTGTGGAGTTCCCCGGACAGTTATTAGCAAGAAAAGGGCCTCTGGTTTAAGCCGGAGCTAATCGAGGAGGCTCCCCAAGGACAGGGATGTTGCAAGTTGTCACAGTGGGGCAACAGTAGGATGTGATGCAGTGGCTCTGGCCTCATGGGGAAGAGACCTGAGTTAAGCCAGATAACGCGCAGCCAGGACCACAGTCACTGAGCTGTTGGGACTTCATCTCCTTCACCTGAAAGTGACAGACGAGGCTCCCATCCTGCTCAGCTCCAAATTCAATCATTTCATTATCAAAATGCAGGTAATGGATTACAAAAGTGTCATGGTTCTCGTGAATGACTCCTTCAGACAGCTCACAGTGCATAGATTCAAGAGAGCTCTAAATACCATGTGCCTCGCTGAGATTTACCGAGTTAGCATAACTCAAAGGCCATGGCTTTAAGAGCTGTCGGTCTTTTTGTTTAATGTCTGTAATTATAGTTAGTGGTGAGTTCTTACAGGACTATGCAGTGTAGCTACGATATCTTATCACTGTAAGGAAAGGCCTGAAGCCATCCCACTTCCCCCTCGCCTTTGCTTCAGGTTTTTGGGATTGGTCTGGTTTTTTTCCCTCTCTTGTGGAGACATAATCACCCATCACCTGCTGCTTCTCTCTGCAGCTCAGATGTTGGCCCCTCTGATGTTTGGACACCATTTGGACATCATGACATTGGCTGGCTCCCTGTGAGTCAGACAGGCTTCTGGATGCCCAAGTCCCTCCCTGCCACCAGCTAGGTGGTGAGGGAGAGTTTCACCTTCCCTCCTTAGGGCCATGTGGAACTAGCAGCCACATAATCTTCATGGCCCAGACACCTAGCACAGAGCAGATGTTCAACATTTACGTGATGATTCTCTTGCCGATTTGTTACTCACCATTGATGCTTCTCAGTATATAATACACCAGGAAACTAAGCTCATAACTAATAACTAAATAATGAACTAAACATGGGTAAGAACCCATTTTTTTCATTCATTGAATAAAACCACAAAGTGCCAGGTGCTGAGATGGCAGGCACAATCTTCACCCTCCAGAGTTCACCGTTTGCAAGGAGAGAAGGTTGTTACTATGCGAGTAAAAAAGTGCCATAGGGGCTCAAAAAGTCTCTGTGTGAAGTGGGGAGGCCATCAGGTACCACCCTGGCAAAAGATGATTCCTGTCTCTGTAAAGAGCAAGCAGGAACTGGGCAGGAAGAGAAGTTCAGGATGGAACAGGCAATCCAGACAGAAGACAAGTATGTGCAAAGCATCAGGCATGGCAGATCACCCCGTTTAAGGACGAGCATATGGGAGGCCTGCCAGGGGACAAAGAGCAGGGAATAAGCATGGTGGGGAAGCTGAGAAGCCCGAAATTTATCCTGAATGCTGTAGGGAAATACTGAAATCCTTTCAGAATTTTAAGCAGAACAATGACTGTGTTAGTCCATTTTCACACTGATGATAAAGACATACCCAAAACTGGGCAATTTACAAAAAAAAAAAAAAAAAGAGGTTTAATGGACTCACAGTTCTACCTGGCTGGGGAGGCCTCACAATCATGATGGAAGGCAAGGAGGAGCAAGTCACGTCTTATGTGGATGGCAGCAGGCAAAGAGAATGAGAGCCAAGTGAAAGGGGTTTCCCCTCTAAAACCATCAGATCTTGTGAGACTTACTCATTTCCATGAGAACAGTATGGGGGAAACTGCCCCCGTGATTCCATTATCTCCCACTGGGTCCCTCCCACAACATGAGGGAATCATGGGAGCTACCATTGAAGATGAGATTTGGCGGGGGACACAGCCAAACCATATCAGCGACATTTTAGAAACACCACTTTTGGTCACAGTGTAAAGAAGACTGGAGTGGACTGCAGAAGGACATCTCCAGACACTGGGAGACCAGATCAACACACTGCTCAGTCCTTTTGATATGTGACGTCCCCAGAGGTATGTGCTTCCACACAGTCCTGCTCAGAGGGAGGCCACTGGCCAGAAAAGGCAGGTGACCCTCATCTGTAGTCCTTGTGCATCTTGAAATCTCAGGGCTCTATTTGACAATTGTCTTTTCCTTATATTCTTTTCTAAATTATGAATGTAATGTGTGATCATTGTAACCAGTGAAGTATATACTTGATTTTTAAAGTCCATGTTTTTACTGTTAGAAAACAATATTATGCTATAAAATTATTTGAAATTTGTTTTTATATTTAAAAAATATCATCCTTTCAAGTTAATAGATATAGATCAAACTTTGTCTTTTAGGAGCGGCATAATATTCTGCAGTGTGGATACAGCACACTTTCTTTAACCTTTCCCTAGTGATAGACATCAAATAGTGATCTAATAAACATCTTTGTACATACATCTTTAGGATAGATTCCCAGATGTGAGAGGTTCCAACAGAGGTTTGCATGTTTTTCCTTTAATAACTATTTACAAATTACTTTCCTAAGAATGGGAAGTGAGTCAGGTTCCCAGAAGCAATGTCCATTTCCCAGCATCATCCCAACACCAGAGACTCCCTTTAACTTTCGTTCGTCTGCTGGGTTCAAAACAGTGTTTCATTGTTTCCATTTGAACTTTCCTATCCACAAAATTGAGTCCTTTTTTATATGCTTATTGGTCATTGGACTTTTCTTTCTCTGAATTATTTATTTTCTCTGACAAGTTTTCTATGGGTTGTCTTTCTCCTATAAATTCACAGGAGCTCTTTCTATTTTAGGAAATTCATTATATGCAAACATTTCCCCTAATTTATCAGTTATTTCCCCTAATTTATCAGTTATTATATGAAACTGTTTTATGTAATCAAATATGTTTATCTTTCATTCAGAGTTTCTAGGTTTCTGGTTTTGAATTAAGAGTTCCCTTCCACCCAAAGGTTTAACAAATAATGTATTAAATGTGCATATTTGTCAGTTAATTTTCTTTCTAACTGTGATGGGATTTGTGCACTTAAAATGCTGATATACCTTAAAGGAACAATATAAAACTAAGGCTCTCCCACTGAAACTACCACTGGGGCTCTTTGCAACCCTCCTAAGAAAGATGGAGAGGAAATGAAAAACATCATTTTCTAAATGTATAAAGAAGAATTACCCGTATTATTCCCTCCAACCTCATCAGGCATGAGCCCTAAAGGAGAGTCATTCTCCAGTGTCTGCTCTTTGTATTCTGATTTAAACTGAAAAATGTAAAACAGTAACTAACTAAAGTCTGAGTCCTGTAATCCTAGAATCCATACCACTGAGCCCCATAGCATATAAGGCACCTTGGAGACAAGTTAAACCACATTTCTGTCGCCAAGGGATGATGTTGTCACCAACCTCACGGAGCTCCAAAGAGCTTGCTAAATGGATGTCAAATACACAGCCTGGATTTGATGGAGATTGTCACAGGTGCTTGTCTTCAGTGTCAAATAAACTCAAGGCACAGCTTATATTTTTAATATGGTCCCTTTAAAAAGGCCCCACTCCCTCTAGTCCACCAATCCCCCAGAAGATCTCTAAAGTATGTTCCTCAAGGGTGGGACCTTTGCGATGCTCCCAGCACCTCCGGCCTGGCCCGGGGCCTGGCCCCGGGTGGACATCAGTGAACATGTGACTGAACACATACCCAAACATGGCGACCAGCAGGTTGACCAGCAGGATGTTGGTGGATAACATGTAGATGCACACCAGGGGGATGGTGATCCACTCAGGGAACCGGGGCAGGTTGTGCTCATCCAGCTCCACGCACAGTGGCTTGGACTCATTCCCAGTGAAGGTGCAGTGGGCAAAGTCATACGTGGTACCTGAGGATGTAGAAACCAAGAGGCAAAGTGAGGATCCTCTGGAGGGGTGAGAATGATGGCATCCCCAAGGCCTCAAGAACGTGATGGTCATGAAATGTCTTAGGTCGTGTTCTAAGGCACTTTATCCAAACAAGTCACAGTCCTTAGAATCACCTGTTCATCCACTCAATGCGTATTTACTGAGCAGCTACTAAGAACAAGGGGCTTTGCAAAGATCAAGATAAAAGGAAAGGCCAAGTGAACGTGTTCTTTGCCCTCAAGAAGGTTCCAGCCTCTTTGGATAGGCAGATAATCAACCACACACATTTAAAGTCTCAGCCCATGAAAAGTGCTAAGAAGGACACACACAGTGCTCTGAGGGGCGTAAACGGAGACAGCTCATCCAGGAGCAGCTTCCCAAAGAGGAAGGGTCTCAGAACTGAGAGCAGAGGATTAGCAGCAGGAACATGAACTAATGGGGAGGGTGGGAGCCTACAGCACCCCACAGAGGCAACAGCATGTGCAAAGGCCCTGTGGTGGGGGCGAGGTGGGGGTTGTAAACATCAGTGGAAATGAGAGAATAAGATGTGCACTGAGCAGACATATTAACGTTTTACTTTTTTTTTTTGAGACGGAATCTCGCTCTGATGCTGAGGCTGGAGTGCAGTGGCACAATCTTGGCTCACTGCAACCTCCACCTCCCAGGTTCAAGTGATTCTCCTGCCTCAGCCTCCCGAGTAGCTGGGACTACAGGCGCATGCCACCATGCCTGGCTAATTTTTGTTGTTTTAGTAGAGGCAGGGTTTCACCCTGTTGGCCAGGCTGGTCTCGAACTCTTGTCCTCAGGTGATCCACCAGCCTCAGCCTCCCAAAGTGCTGGGATTACACGCATAAGCCACCATCCCCAGCCTATTCTTAAAATTTTTACACTGAAATGATGGGAAGCCATGAGGCTGTTTTAGGCAGAGGAATGACACGTCAGATTCCCTTTTCCAAAGAATCTCTCTGGCTACAGCACAGATCAGAAGGGGCTCGAGGTGAAGGAAGGTGAGGAGGTTGTGCCTAAGACTCAGGCAGGCAAGCGATGAGGATGGCTCGCGGGGTGGCAGTGGTGACGGAAAAAACAGATTTCAAAAAAACATTTAGGAGATAAAAATCAACAAAACTAGCGGATGAATTGAATAGCGGGGAATGAAATCCGAGAAGGTGTTAGGGACAACACTGAGGCTTTTGACAGCTCTGTTCACTCAACTGTGTGGAAGCTGGCAGCAAAACTTCACAGGAGGACACTGGGGGGAGTTTGGGTCTGGAAGTGGGCATCAAGACCCTTTTATTAGGATGTGCCAAGGTGCGTCTGAGAAATCTCAGAGGAGGGGGCACTGGGTACAAACGACCGGCCTCTGAGAGCTGCTCTGTGCCAGAGATCCTCATCCGAGTGTGTGTGGGGTCATGCCGGCCGGTGAGAGGCCCATAGAGAAGATGTGCTTTACCAGTTTTACCCATGAAACAGAGACAGCAAAGTGGAGTCACTTCCTCGGGGCACACAGCACATGAGTGGCTACCCTGGATCTGAACCCCACCTGCCAATTCCTCTTTAGATTCCGGTGGAACTAAAACCACGGACGTGGAGAGTTGTTATGAGGACGAAACGCGTCTGTTTCTGTAAAGCGGCAGGCACAGTGTGCAGACTGGGCGTGACAATACCAAGGTGCCTTTCCACCTCGGCAGGGGAAAAGGGCTGTTTCTAAGGTCTTGGAAGAGGCTTCAGCAGCTGGGGCCAGAGAGACTTATGAGGCCGGGAGGATAACAGAGAAAACAACAGGCACGGAGAACTGTGACCAGGAGGAGCAGGCTCTGGCTCAGGGAAACCAGGACGGTTTTATCGCGGCAGGATAGGAAATGACGAGCCAAGGCTATTGTTGTCAGCATCCTAAAGATGCTTCAGCCCGCCATCCAAAACACACACAATTTACATAGCCCCTCACTTTCCTTCTGTAAATTGGGTGTGGGCAAATTAAAACCATCTGTGCCACCATCAGCCTGCCTCCAAAAACCAGTTGGCAGTGGACTAACTAACGCCGGAAGTCTAAATTCCAGGTTCCAATGTGGATTTTCCAGTGTTGCTCTTTTTGAAAAAAACGGGAGCCCAGTCACTCTGTTACATGGGTGAGTACAACTCACAACCCTCGTTTCTAAACTAGTAAGCCTTGTTGCCTTCAATTACCAATTTTCAATTGTTATTGAAAATATCAGAATCACTATTTTTGAAAAGGTTTAACAATTGAAATGTTGGGCACCATCTGAAAGGCTGGTGGAAAATCTTGCTTAAGAGCAAAGAAGAGGTTTCGAGGAGTTAGTTTTTACTGTGTGGTGTTAGAGTCTGTTTCACGTGCGTGCTTCTGAAGTGCGGTCTCTGGGGCAGCCCTGGGGGCTGGTTCAGGGAGCAAATGCCTCGTCTAAGCTGTTTCCACCTGAGCCAAGTCAGGCTTACCGTCCACGTCACTGGGCACCTGGCCGAACATGGCCAGGTAGGGCTCGTAGATGACCGAACGGAATATCCACCTCCAGCGCTGCTCATTCTGCCTGAGGATCCCTTGCCTGGCCACGCCAAAGGCCACCATCCACACCGCAAAGAGGAACAGGAAGAAGAACACGTCGATGAGCTGTCAGGGAGGACAAGAGAGCAGAGTCAGGACTGTGCCCACAGTCGGCAAGCCCCTTGGCCTGGCCGTCCTCAGTGGACCATGGAGAAGAGCAGTGGTTCCAGGGCTCAGAGCATCTAAGTCACCCAGAGTTCACTGACTAATTGACAAAGGCGGTCATCATCATCTTTGGATCTTAGGACATCTGTCTTCCAGGGTTAAAACCAGTTTGATGCATTTTTGCTTACTGATCTCCAAACCAGCCCAGCAACAGCAGCTTTCTGAGTGGGAGCCCAGCTCTAGAGCAAAGGAGGAATCTAAGTTTTGGAGGACCTCTCTGTCCCTATACCTCACGATTTTGATACACTTTTAACCCCAAAATTATTTTCGTAGTTTGTTTGTTTGTTTGTTTGGAAAATAAAAGCTATCCTTATTAGACAAGAATGGACCGTTTCATTTTTTTTTTTAATTTTGTGCACACATAGCATGACTTCATGGTGACTGGATGCCCCAGAAATGCTTTGAATTAAAACCACAAACTGAAAGAACCTCAATATTGGAATGGAGCTTCCAGATGAGCTCATCTAAATGCTCATCTGATTTAAAGACAGAAACAGTGGAGGTTTGGGTCATCTGGAAAACAAGTTTAGGAAAGCAACACCATCCGTGTGTAATTCTGTCTATTACGTGTATATATAACAAGCCTGCTATAGCCTTTCCCTGTATCTATATTACACAGTTACATGATTCAAGTTCCAATCCTCACTGTGCATCTAGCTCACCGCTTGTCTCTAGACAAACACAGTCCTCCTTGCACTCAACTGTCCCCATGTATAAAATTGGCATAAAAGTTCCTCCCCTGACCACACTCTTAGCAAACTGTCAAGACTCAAATGAATGTACATTGTAAAGTGTAAAATCTAAATAAGTATGAGGTTATTTGTTAACAATGCACTAAATGACACTGTTTGCTCCTCATGACCATCTTTCATTAAATTTTAACCTGGGAGAGGCCCCTGATGAAATACATCAAAGAAAGCAAATGTTACTGATGGTGAAATGCAACAGTCGTTCTAAGGACAAAATCCTCCTGTCAACCATTAAAAGAACTCTGGGCCCCACAAGAGAAATGATGACTACAAATATTCTTGACTCTTACCATCCTCTGCAGCATTATAATCTTGGGTCCTAAGTTTCTGCTTACAGTAAAAATGTGGATCAATCTTAGAGTGAAAATAATGTAGTCCAGACAGAAAATGACTCGTCCAGAATATAAAGAGCTTTTATTAGAAGAGTGGAGGCTAGGGGAAAAAGAAGGAACAGAATTCATGAGATATTGACAAAACATTCTAAAGTTTTGTTTCTAAAAATAACCCAATTTCAAGAAACAGGCAAGAGCTGGAAGGTTGAGTAAGTGCAAACAGGCCAGAAACACCACCCAGCAAAGGCCATGATCTTCTGCTTTCATGGACTCAAGTACAGTCAAGGACATGAAAAGCAAAGATATCTCACCAAACTGAGCTCTCAGAGGTTCCTGTCTCTTTAGCCTGCCATCCTCACACACTACTGCAGGAACCTAACCGTGCTATTGCTAACTTCCCTGGCTCACAAGGCTTCTATAATGATGCCAAACCCCAGCCCATCCCCGTGACCATTTGGGACTTCACCCTGCCAGCTTTCCCCTAATGAAACTTACCTCATTTGCACCAGATCATTTGATTAACCACCTGCTAATGTGCTCATTGAAAGCCATCTGTGCTTTCTAACTGGAATGATCTAGAATCATGTCCAACCAACTGTGGCTCAAATGCTGGAACTTTAAACCCAACCAGAACGGGAAGCTATCTGAAGAGGAAATTGACATTTTTACCCCATTCAAATTGGAGAGTGAACACTCATTGTAAACCATCTCATTCTGTATAAGTGTAAATATGAATGGTTAAGCTTCTTTACAAAATGACATCATTTGAAAGTACTACTCACATATAATTGCTAGCTTTATCTTTTTTTAAAAAATTGAAACAGGGTCTCGCTATGCTGCTTAGGCTGGTCTCAAACTCCTGGTTCAAGTGATCCTCCCACCTCAGCCTCCCAAAGTGTTTGGATTACAGGTGTGAGCCACCATGGCCCAGTTGCTAGCTTTATCTTAAAAGTTATTTGGGGACAACAGGCCAGTTGGGATGCAGGCTAGGCAATGCAAACCATGGTTTGGGGCATACCCTAATCTCTCCATGATGTGGAATACACATTGTTTTTTTGGTGGTAATTTGTGGTTGGTTTTTCTAATCCCACACTCTGGCTGTGCCATTGAGGAAATATGCTTGTAACTGGAAGGGCAGACTCCACAGCCAGCATTCAAATAGAAGTTAAGTGCATATTAGAAGGTCATATGGCCCAACACGAAACAATGCTGTATGATATTTAACATTCTCAGCATCTTCTCCTCTTATTTGACCCAGCAATCCCATTACTGAGTATATACCCAAAGAAAATAAATCGTTCTACCAAAAAGACACATGCTCTCATATGTACATTGCAGCACTATTCACAACAGCAAAGACACGAAACCAACCTAGATGCCCATCAGTGGTGGACTGGATAAAGAAAATGTGATACATATACTCCATGGAATACTACACAGCAATAAAGAAAGAACATGGATGCAGCTCGAGGCCATTATGCTAAGCGAATTCACGCAGGAACAAAAAACCAAATACCACGTGTTCTCACTTATAAGTGGGAGGTAAACACTGAGTACATATGGACACAAATATGGGAATAATAAACACTGGGAACTCCAAAAGGGGGAAATGAGAGAGAGGGGCTAACTGCTGGGTACTAGGCTCACTACCTGTTGGGTACTAGGCTCACTGCCTGTTGGGTACTATGCTCACTACCTGTTGGGTACTAGGCTCACTACCTGTTGGGTACTAGGCTCACTACCTGTTGGGTACTAGGCTCACTACTGGGTTAGTTCAACATATGCAAATCAATAATTGTGATTCACTACATAAACAGAATTAAAAGCAAAATCTACACAATCATCTCAATAGGTACAGAAAAAGCTTTCGATAAAATCCAACATCCCTTCATGACCAAAAAAAAAAAAAAAAACTCAACAAACTAAGCATTGAAGGAACAGACTTCAAAATAATAAGAACCATCTATGACAAATCCACAGCCAACATCATATTGAATGGGCAAAAGCTGGAAGCATTCCGCTTAATAACTGGAACAAGACAAGGATGTTCACTCTCACTACTCCTATTCAACATAGTACTGGTAGTCCTAGCCAGAGCAATCAGACAAGATAAAGAAATAGAAGGTATCCAAATAGGAAAAGAAGTCAAATTATCTCTCTTCACTAATAATATGATTCTATACCTAGAAAACCTTAAAGACTCTGTCCAAAGGGTCCTAGGACAGATAAGCGACTTCAGTAAAGTTTCAGGACACAAAATCAATACACAATAATCAATAGAATTTCTCAGTTTCTATTTATTTCTCCCCATGATCAGGTGCAGAGGCTCATGCCTGTGATCCCAATACTTTGGGAGGCTGAGGCAGGTGGATTGCTTGAGCCCAGGCATTTGAGACCAGCCTGGACAACATGATGAAACCTCATCTCTACTTAAAAAAATAATTTTCCCCAAAGTCTATAAGAACAAAGAGAAAAATCATGCAGGACCCCTTTTAAATTACACATCAGTGGGAGGGGGAAGAGAGGGGACTCAACTTGATGCTAACCAAGCTGCATCTCTATAAAGCAGACACAATGATCTTATGTAATAATCTCTAATGAGTAACAGACTTCCCTTGGGTTTGAAATGTCTGCAGAGCTTTTCTCCACTTTTGTACTCAAAACACGGAAAATTAGGAGAAGTGAAGAGAGTACTTACCGAAACACAATTCCTGCTATGAAGTAAAAAAGCCCCAGCGTGTCCATAACATTCCACAGGTCAGTAAAATAATTCACCCCATTTATGTACCACTGTGTACAGAAAGGGACAGAGAGGGACATTAGCAGCTTGGAAATATCAACCACTTCCAGATTTTTCAATGTCCACTCATTTTCTTCCAGGTCCTTTTTGAGCCAATGACGTGTTTGCTTATTCTTTCATATGCCAAGTGAGCCCTACCACACGCCCCACGCTAATCCGGGAGGATTGGAAAGTAGGTTGCACACTGGCTGTTCTGCTCTTCGTGTCTGCTGGCAAAGTCAGGAAAAAGGATTGACGTATCCTCACCGTTTTTTCAACAGGAACCTGCAGAGGGTGAGTACACCCTCTGTAGGCAGATGTAGACTGTCCGGTCACCATGTACAATGGTACAGACTGTGCACTACACAGTCCTACAGAGAATTACTCATATTGTTGTCATCATAGATTTGTGTCATTACTGTAAAATTTTTCTGTCACATGGCAGTAAAACATCTTGATTAACAGGAATCTTTTTTTAAAAATGTGCACATAGGTGCTGTATATAACATCTATGAGGACAGATGTGGTCACAGATATGACTGACAGGAACAGTGTGCCTCAGGGATTGATGTGTATGTATTGGTCATGATTCTTGGAAGAAAGTATGTCAGGAAAATACTGAAACAAACAGAGAGTATCCTTTCTCTTTTCTCATTTTCCCAAAGAGGGAAAGGAGAAGACCACATCTGGATGGCTCCTATATCAATCCATAAACTGGATTTGGGTAATTCCAGAGTGACCAGCTAATCCTTTCATTTGTCCATTCATTCAAAATATATTTACGGAGAGCACATGGAATTCCAAACACCTGTGCCAGGCTCCCGGAGCACAGAAACATTGGTGCAATGCTAATTCTCAAGGAATCTACTGTTTGGTGGGAAAGACAGATGTTAAACATGTTGAAAAGAAATGACACGAAGATCGGTATGGGGATAAGACCGAGGCCCCAGGTGAATTCAAAGAAGGAAACCCAACACTTGTGCAAGGCGGGGAAACAACACCAAAGAAATGTCAACAAAGCAACAGGGCACTTCTTAATGTTACTAAATGAACTCACCAATAGGAGTCCATCTGATATTTAGATATTTCCTACCTTGCTGTTGAAACCACAGCCTAGAGAGGCTAAGGAACTCACTCAGCAAGTGGCAGACCTCACGATTCTGAACCCAAGTCAGTTGCTTCTTCCCACATCACTCTGCTTCTTCAGATCCCACAGAAATCCTACAGTCTCAGATGTGGAAGGGATTCAAGACACATCATTCATTTCTCAAGAAGCATTTCCTTTCCTTCATTTGTAAATTCGAATAGCAACTTGAGTGGGCCAAGGGGGTGAGGGCACTATGAAATCAAGCACCCAGGAAATTTTAAATTCCCCCAGGCTGGGGCAGCACCGTGGGGTGTGTCAACAGTCCACTCACTATGTGAAGACTCAACTCTCTCTCTTTTTTAAATCAGTACATAGGATGTTATTGCAGCATTTTTGTTGCAGGGAAAAGTATAATCTGGGAAAAAGATGTGGTCCTTCATTAAAGAAATATTGAATATATTACAATCATGTTTTTTTAAAAGGAACAGAGTGATGTCATTTGTCTTGGAGAGATTTCCACAAAGTAAAAGAGAAAGCAAAACGCAGAAAAGTATGGGAAACGGAATCTTGTTTTTGTAAAACAAAGAATGAAGAAAAAAGCCCCCAAACATACATATGCCTACTCTATTTCATTAAACCTCAGATTGTAAGAAATTGCAGTTTCAGAGATGTTAAAATGTGAAAAAAGAATGACATCTCAGATTTGATGTAATACAGTGTGTGTACATAGCACATGGACCAAATAAAAGCAGAAAGAGACACAGCAGTTTATTAACATAGCTTGAGGGCGTTGTCTTTAGAGTAAAGGTTGAGAAAGTCCGTAGGGAGACTAACAAAGAAGGAAAAAAAGGCTCAACAAGCACACACACACACACACACACACGCACACACAATATAATATTCCATTTCTGTGAAATATGTGTGTTTACAAGAAACTAGGTTGAAAAAGAGATCTATGTCTAAGATTAACTTGCAGGAAAGCCCATGAGAAATTCTCAAAAAAAAAAAAAGCAAATTGTAGGGTGATGAACACAGTATGATTCTATTTGGATAAAAACAAATAGAACATCTGCATACATTCCTCTCTTTATGGGCATGAAGAAGGTTGTGGAAGATCATACTCTAGATTGGGCAGGATTATTCTTTATATAGTCCCACTTGTGATAAGCATTATTACTTTGTGATTTTATAAAACTCAATAAAATAAAAACGGACAAAAATTGAGGGGAAACAGATACATCTTGCCGTATAGCTAAAATACGTTTGATATTTTCATTTGTATTACAATTGTCTCTGCCAATAACCATTATTATCAGGACCATAATAAAGGACAAGAGATCTGCTAATTCCTCAGTGATCAATGACAAAATTCAACTAGGCAGTCCACATGGTTTATATCTCTTAATGTATCGTCAACATTCTTGTCACCCTATTCACTCAGTTCAAACATTCTGCCTAGGCTCAGAAACCAAGACAGGCTCCTTCAGGGAGCCACAGGAACTGTCTGCTTTGCTGGTGTTAGCAGCTCCAGTGGCCCCTCACCAACAACCTTTTCCTCTTCTGGTGCCTGGTAAGATAAGGGGGATTGGGAATGTCCCTCCCTGCTGCTAGCTCCCCGCTTAATGCCCTGCAATAGGAGGCAGGTAGGCACCGGGAGACTCGCACTGCCCCAGCCCAACCTCAGCCCGGGAGACTTTCAGAAGCCTGACCTACATGAAGAGAGACATCAGAAATAGGTCAATTCTGAGGCTCCAAGTTACCATCGCAGGGAGAAAACCTGTTTTTAAAGGAAAAGAGGCCTCTTCTCTGAGCGTAATGCCAGAGATAGGCTGTATTCACAAAATCCCAGGACACTGTGTCATCCTATCCATCAGGATTTGGGGATTCAGCATTCCTCAAGATTGAACGGTGCCCCCCATGAAGGCATGATGGGACTCATCCCATTTTAAATAAACATCCCCAATGTATGTTTAGCAGACCCAAGGATTATTTAGCAACTGTATTTGCACTTATTGACTCCCTCGTTTCAAAATTCCAAATCAGCATTTCGACATTTGCATTCAGGCGAAGGGACACAGGTACATACGGAAGGCATGACTTTTCGACACCCAGACACAACCTAAATCAGGTCACACCCTGCTTGGGTTTTGGGTTTTTTGGTTTGTTTTTTTTTTCCTAACAAGTGTAAACTAGGTTAATTAAGACAGCACCAGGCCAGCAGAACTGTTTCTTAGAGGAAAGCAATCCCATTTAGGACGTCAAATGCATGAGTCTGCAGACCGGAAGAGAAACAGCGACCCCGAGTGTTGGATTCTTTTAACAGTAAGAATCTCCATGGCTATGTTCTACAGACCCGTTCATGCTGCAGAATCACAGCTGTGAGGCCGGAAAAGCCCTCAGATGGCAGAGCCACCTGGAACACATGCTGCTGACCCTAAGCACAGGGCGCTTCCCATACTGGATTGCTGAGTTAAAAGTGGCCCATTCAAAGATAATTCTTAAAAATAACAAGAACAGATATTTAGTAAGCATCTCCCCCATATCCAGCATCACCCACAATGAAGGCAAACAGAATAGGTAGGGGTCAACCAGACCCCTACCCTTCCTCCCGCAGGCCCAGGGAATTACTTACAGCCCGTTGTCCTTCCCCAGTTTTCCTGCGCACCTGCCCCTGTCTACTCCCAACCCACGTCCCTGCCCTGTGTCCTCCCTGAGCAAAAACACCTCATGCTAACTCTGCCCAGGGCCCTTCTCCAAGAAAAATGTACTTCTCCTGAGTCTCCTCCTGCATGACCCGAACAGGTGACTTAGTAGCTAAATGCACGTAGGAAATTGGCACAGAGATGTCTGTGATTTACAGACTTTGGATTTCACTGTTGCAAGTCCTCTGGGCCAACCTCCCAGTAAATGTAAGACTCGCCCACTTAGTGCTGCTTGCCGATGCTCATCTCTTCTCCTTGAAAGCTCCCAGAAATCATCATGAACTGGTAGAACTCTCCACCGGGGAAGAGATCTTCGTCTGTTCGGTCCATTGCTGCCGAGAACAGTGCCTGGCACAAAGTAGGGGTGTGAAATATTTGTTGAAAGGAAGAATGCATTAATGAAATACTTGGATGAAGCCAAGACAAATCTCCCTGCACCTTCCATCCAGGCCAAGGTCTGCTTCCAAAGCAACCCAGAACAAGTCCTCTCTCAGATTCCTGTTTTTTGTTTGTTTGTTTGTTTTGTTTCTTTTTGTTTTGTTTTGAGAGGGAGTCTCGCTCTGTCACCCAGGCTGGAGTGCAGTGGAGCAATCTCAGCTCGCTGCAAGCTCTGCCTCCAGGGTTCAAGCAATTCTACTGCCTCAGCCTCCTGAGTAGCTGGGATTACAAGCACGCACCACCATGCCTGGCTAATTTTTGTACTTTTAGTAGAGATGGGATTTTGCCATGTTGGCCAGGCTGGTCTCAAACTTCCTGACCTCAGGTGATCTGCTCGCCTCAGCCTCCCAAAGTGCTGGGATTACAGGCATGAGCCACTGTGCCCAGCCTCTGGTTTCTTTAGATGCCTGAAGGAGTCAAACAATGTCTGGACTTGCACAGCAGCTTCTGCGCCTTAATGCAGCAAGGGAAGCAGGGTCAAGGACAGGTAGAGAAATGTTTGGGAGCCTGAGGGGTGAAAAGTAGCAGAAAAAGGACTTTTGACTTTTCATCAACCATTCTGAAAAGAGGCCACCAAAGCGCCCTCTGCCCCAGAGAACACCCTTGAGCCCCTGCCTGTGGGGCTGTGGACAGGGTTCCTCTCCAGCTCCCCAACGCTGGTCTCCTGAGTGTTACCATGGCCACCCCAGGGCACACAGCCCTTGGGTTGAACTATGAAGACCTTGCTTCATCAATCCTTTTAGTAAAAACACACACGCTTGTCAGAAACATGTCAGTGCCAGCTCCTGTGCCAGCCCCTGAGGACCAAATGTGAATAAGAAATAAACATCTAAATCAAATCATTCCCATGCCACACAATTCTGAGCAACAACAAGAGTATGTGTTAGGAACTGGAAAAGCTCAAACGAACCTCCCAGTGGAGTTGATGCAAGAAGAGATGCACTAGGGCACCATGCCAGACGTCCATCCTCTTATTCTCTAAATAACCTCTTGCAGGTCCAAAAAATTCAGTAAGTTACTACCGCACCAGCCATTCGTAATTCCAGCTGGTTTTTTCTCCCTCCCCACCTCCACATTTCTCCTGTCTCCCTCTCTCTCTCATTCTCTCTCTCTCTCTCTCTCTCTCTCTCTCTGCTAATTTGTGCTCATGACTCATTTCCCCATCAGGCTATGAATCCATTGTCACTTGATTCTACTCAGTGGCTACCTTTGAGATGTCAGGCTGGTCACCTGAGTCATGCAGTGTGCTTCTCCAGTTCCTATAGACCCTGTGCCTCTTCCAGCAAACTCTGCTGCCCCCACAGAGCTCAAGTTCCTGCCTGTGAGTGGCCACCAAGGGTTGGAGGCCTGTGTGACCTCCCAGGTGGTCCAGCTGCCTCTCCTGTAAGCTGTGCCGGTAAGGGCCTGCCAGGAACCAGCGGGCTGCCCTCCAAGGCTACCAATTTCCACAGACCAGGCAAAACCCTTTGGTGGCCGGACATGGTGGCTCACACCTGTAATCCCAGCACTTTGGGAGGCCGAGGCAGGTGGATCATGAGGTCAAGAGATCAAGACCATCCTGGACAACACGGTGAAACCCCATCCCTACTAAAAATACAAAAATTAGCTGGGCATGGTGGCGCGTGCCTGTAGTCCCAGATACTCGGGAGGCTGAGGCAGGAGAATTGCTTGAACCTGGGAGGCAGGGATTGCAGTGAGCCAAGATCATGCTATTGCACTCCAGCCTGGGCGACAGACCAAGATACAGTCTCAAAAAAAAAAAAAAAAAAATGGCACTTACCCTACTCTTGGGGCAGACACTGTCCCAGTTGTTTCCAGTACATAATAAGACATCAGCCAGCCCCTCAGAGGGAGTGAGAGGTAGGGGGTGTTGGGGTTCTTCCCCCTCCAGTGCTACAAAGCCCCCAATCTTACCCTTTTAGCCCCTCCCTCTTGCAAAAGCTAAGCTGAGAATGCTGTCTTTTTGTTCCTGAAGTGCCTTTGAAAAGGGTCTTGGTCATGGTCAACTACAAGCAAGAGTGGAGGACACCACGCCAGCTCAGGAGAAGGGAAAACGCAGGACCTCATCCAGAGTGAGCTCCCGCACCATGGCTCCAGGATTCCTAGCTGGATGAGGGCTGCTTCTCTCACTTTCTCACTCTGGTCTGGGCCCACCCTGTTCTAAACGATGAATTTCCTTCAGTCTTTCTCTGCTTCCCTCAAATAGAATATTTCCGTTCCCTCGCTGCTGCTGACACATACGTAGCAAATCACAACACAGAGCAAGGAAGTAGGATGGCAGCTAAGAGAAAGAGACTTGTTGTAGGTGTTACAGGTTAAATTGTGTCTCCAAAAATTCACACATGGAAGTCCTAACTCCCAGTACCTTGGCATGTGACATTGTTTGGAAACAGGGGCATTGCAGATACCACTAATTAAGTAAAGAGGAAGTCATGCTGAAGTAGGGTGGCCCCTGATCCAGTACGACAAATGTCCCCAGGAATAGTGGAAATTTGGACACAATCACTCATGCAGGAGTCACCCCTGAGGACAGGGATCAGAGTGATGCATCGACAAGCCAAGGAATGGTGAAGCTTGCCAGCTGGCCGCCAAAAGCTAGAGGAGGGGCTAGGACAGAGTCTCCCGCACGGCCTTCAGAGGGAGTCAGCCCTGCCGACAGCTTGATCTCAGACTTCTGGCCTCTAGAACCATAAGGCAATGAACTTCTGTTATTAAAGCCATATGGTCTATGGTGCTTCATCTTGGCAGCCCTACAGACTAACACTGAGGGCATGGCCTGGGCAGGGCTGTGGATGGGACTTTCCAGGGCAGTGCATGGGACTCCCATAGGGCTGATCCGAAGTTAGGGAAATCCCCTGCACATAGCAGGGCCCTGTCCTGGGGGAAGAATTGCTGGTAAGTGAAGCCTGATAATCCTGCTGTTCAACACTGGCATGAGAAATTTAGCTTCTGCTTCCTCCACCTGCATCCCAGCTCTATTCCCCATCTGCACCTCAGACCTACTAGGCAAGGAAAGGCAGATACAGGGCACTGGTGCCAGGACTCTTCCCACAGGTCATACCCATGGCAGACATCACTAATCAATCAAAACACTCTCCTGCTGAGAACAGACAGACCAGGACTCTTCCCACAGGTCATACCCATGGCAGACATCACTAATCAATCAAAACACTCTCCTGCTGAGAACAGACCCTTGGAATCTTTCTCAACCCAGGACTGCTGGGAGTCACCAGAAAAAGTCTGTCAGAGTTGGCATGAAAGTTTAAGCCAACATAGGGTTCTTATACGAGTCAGTGACTCTATAAGGGCAATAAAAACACTCTTTGCCCCTCCAGATCTCTTGTAGCACATGGCATTGTACCTCGGAAACTGTCAGTGCCTAGCATGCACTTGCTGAATTGATGTATTTTTGCATTTAGGTTCAGAGGGGACAACAGTGACAACAACAGCAGTTCTCAAACAATTTGTAAACTGCTAAGTGTCAAAGGATTTTCTGGGATGACTTTTCATAATGGTTTAGGGATAACGCCACTTTCACCATCGACATTTATTTCTTCAACAATTACTAACCAAGCGCCTGCTACACATGAGTCCTGAGCTAGACTTCTGGGTTCAACAGTAGAGAAAGGATGCCAAAAATGAAGGTCCCAAGAAACTGCAGAAAAGCACCATGAATAATTCACACCAGCTCCCTGAAACCCACAGGGAGTTACATGACTTTAAAACATTGTCACTCTGACATGCTGGGCATTAAGATGCTCTTAGCTCAAAAGTCCTGCCAGCTCCCTGCTACTTATCATGCCATGGTAATGGCAAACCACTCCTGATGACAGCAGTGGGTTTACCATCCTGGGTCTCTCTTCTCTTCGAACACTCCCCCATTCCTGACTAATACATCTCCATCAATTAACATTCATTAGAGAGCACAGAATAAACTTGGTACTAGGAGATCTTACTGAATTACTAAGGGTGTGAAAATGCACCTTCACATTCACAGATTAGCACCTAAAGAGAACATTTATTTGGGGAAAATAATGACTTTTGAACTTCAGAAGCAACTTCTATACCTCTTGGCTTTAAAAAGATGCCTCCCACTGAGGAAGCGAGGGGATTCCTGCTGTCATGGCTGCCCTACCTGTCTCACTTCATCACAGAAGAGGACAAAGACCAGTGCGTACAGGACCAGCTCAGGGGGGTGTGGCACCGAATGGAAATCCATGAGCAGCACGTAGGCAAACAGCAGGAGGAAGGCTATGTAGAAGACCACATTCCAGGAGAAGACCACGAAGGGGGAGGTGAAGAACGCCACATAGTACCAAAGCAGCTTCTTGTGCTTGTCAACAGGCTTCTTCCTGGACCCAGAGATAAGGGCATCGTCAGCGTCCTTGCAAGCATGGGATGGGCACAGCCCTCCCCACTTCTAAACATAGATAAATACAGACTTGTAACCAGGAGGAAGAGACAGGATCAAAACTGTCCTAAGATGGGCCCGACCCCAATTCAATACCTGGCATTTTGCAATTAACAAATCCACATTCTGCCCCAGATATTAAAGACACAACCCCACCTCTACTCACTTAAGAGGGAACCCAGGAAAAGTCAGGGGAGAAACCAGACCAAATTCATAGGCACCAATGTGAACATCATAAGTTCTAGGCTTTTTAATCATTTACACGAGAACACACATATGTGGATGCATCTACACACACTGGCACACACACACACAATTATGTGCCTTGGTTTGTACCTAAATGATACAAAGCCACAGCCCACCAAGGGTATAATAAAGAGACACAGGATAATCTTCCAGTTCTTGGTGTCTCGTGAAATCTCTCCATACCATTGCTTAGAAAGAAAATTCTACAGGGAAACAAAGACAGAGAACAAGTCCTTATTAACACAATTATATGCAGGATGGCATGCAAACTTTCTTCCCTGCCCCACGCTTTCCCCAAAATACACAGCTCTTTGAATTAATGCCCTTATTTTTTTTTTGAGATGGAGTTTCACTCTTGTTGCCCAGGCTGGAGTGCAATGGCACGATCTTGGCTTACCACAACCTTCGCCTCCCGGGTTCAAGTGATTCTCCTGCCTCAGCCTCCTGAGTAGCTGGGATTACAGGTGTGTGCCACCAGGCCCAGCTATTTTGTTTGTTTGTTTGTATTCTTAGTAGAGATGGGGTTTCTCCATGTTGGTCACGCTGGTTGCGAACTCCCAACCTCAGGTAATCCACCCGCCTTGGTCTCCCAAAGTGCTGGGATTACAGGCATGAGCCACCACACCGGGCCAAACTTGGTTTTATTTTAACTCTTTTTCTGAGTTGGATTATGTGCACTTTAAAGTAATATTTGTGTACGTTCAAATTCAATAAACCTAGGAATTTTTTGTCCAACTCACATTTTTATTACATAAGTTTAAACAAGTATCTTTCTGGCTCCTTTGTCTTCAATGATCACAAATTCACAGGCACAGCCAGTACTACCTGCAGAGTCCCCAAGGATTCATTTCTGGAGAAAGACAGGTGATGCTTTTGTCAGGAAACTAAAAGGAAGTTCGGAAGCGGGAGACTGTCGGTATCTTGACGTCAATTCAGGCTGAAATGCATGAAAAAGCTCTTCCCAGACTGAATCAACCCTTGACATTGGGATAGAAGGAACTTCCACAAAGGTGGAAGTTAGAAAACTCACGGCAGCTCCGAGAGTTAGCAGGGAGCATAGACTCGACCACATCAAAGGATCCACATCTCTCAAAAAATAGCCCGTCAAGCAGAAGGAGGTTGGTGTATCTCAGGAGCAGAGGAAAAGGGAAACCCAGGACCTTCTCAGTGCGGGCTTGGAGGGCGGGGACTGACATGCACCCCTGCAGCCCTGGGCACCTGCCCTGCCCTTGGAGGAGGATGGCTGCTTCTGAGGGCCCCTGCCTGGGGCTGCTCCAGCCAGGTGCGTGCTCGACCCGTGAGGACTAGTGTCCTGGAACAAGGTATCAGCTTTCAACAAACAACCAATTGCAGTTGGTGGGTAAAGGGCCAGCTGTTTTGCACTGGGCCAGGCAACAATGAAGCAGGTTCTACAGTTTCCCAGAGGTACCCGGCAGGCCAAGCCCCGGTGCCCACAGTGGCAACATCCTCATCAGCACATCACGTCTGTCCCTGTCCCTTCCCTGTCTCCCTGGCGCCTCCTGTGCTTCCCAGGTTCACCTCCAGAATAAACTCCTTGCATTGAAATCCTCACTTTGGGGTTTACTTCTTGGGAGGGTGTGCGGGGGTCATGGGCAAGGAAGACAGGTTGTGCTTAGTCTTCCTCACTCTCCTATTCTGCTGGGGCCATCACGGAGTGTCACTGTCAGGCCCCAGTCACAGAAATTACAGCATTGGGTTGGGTTTCATGGTCACTGGCAGCATTCTGATGTCACACAGCACCTTGACTACTGAAAGGAAACTCCCTGGCCGGGCCCACAGGTGATCCTGTGGCCTGCTGGTAAGATTTTCAGTGAAATGAATGACCTGGCATCTGATTGAAACCTCAGGATCTGTGAACCTGGGCAGGAGTAAAAGCCAGCCTCCACAGGGCCCCAAGTTCTGGGACATACGCAAGATGGGGTTTGGGGCCCAGGAAGCCATAAGCAGAGTGTGGCCCACCTGGGAAGCCAGCCCAGCCTCCCAGGCACAGCCCGACTCCAGTACCAGCCTTGCTTCTACCCACTACACTGCAGCAAAGGCTAAAACTGAGCAATAGTAAGACCCTCTCTGTGCGCTCCTTGTCATGGATCAATGCTCTCATTTAACCTAGCTTAGTTGCAGTAGTAAGCGGGTTTTGTTCATAAACACTTGGCTGTATGATATGGAAAGTCCATGACATGAAAGTTGCAGGCAATCAACATGAGAGCCGATCCCACTGCTGCTACTTCCCAGCAGTGCAAGCTGGAAGGACATTCCAGAACCTCTCTGAGCTCCTGCATCCTCCTCAGTGAAATGGGAGGGCACCCATCGCCACAGATACTGTGAAGATGAAACGTGGCCTTGTGTATAACAGCTGTGGCTGACAAGCGTTGGTCCCTCCATCTCTTCCCTTCCCCCTCCCCTTCTCACACCCACATTTCTACAACTGGAACTGTGGATGAAAAGCTCCCCTCTGCAGCCTGAGACACCAGGTGCAGACTACGATTCATTCACTTCACTGCAGAAACCCTCAAGACTGCTTTTACCCATTTCACAATAGTTTCCCTACCACTATTACTACTAACTGCAGTAGCAATAGCTAAATGAAAGACCAATGCCTTTCACATATTATCTCCTTAAATCCTCACAATAACCCTTTATCCGCTACTCTCACCATTTTGCAGACGAAGAAACTAAGACTCAGAGAGCTCATGTGACTTGGCCCATCATCACACACTTCATTGGGGGTACAGCGGATGGAGACCCAACCAGTGGGATCCAGAGACACAGCTCATAATTGCGATGCTGTGTTGTTTACTTAGTGGAAACTCAAAGAATATTCTTTGTTCTGCACCATCTCTTAAAGCATGGATTTCAACCAATGCCTATATTCTGCCATCTCCCACATCATCACCAAACCACTCCTTCTATGGCTTTTATATTGGAGAATAAGGTTTGTTTTTAATATTTTTAATGCCGCTGATAGCATCTGACATAAAAGCCCCATGTGGTCTGGAGGCTGAGCACGGTTTACCTGGACCCCAGGCTGGGCGATGAAATGCTGGTCTGTGGCCTCCACCGCCAGCTCCAGACAGTTGCTTCCACCCCAGGCTTCACAGGAATAGACCAGCAGCTGTTCTGCCAAGTCTTCATCGCTGCTGTAACACTCAGTGAAGAGCTCTACAGCGACAGCAGCACAGAGAGAAGCTGGTGTCAGAGCTGCACATGACCACAGCTGTGCTGCTTCCACCCCCAGCCAACTCCTGAATCCAAGAATAGCCTGGGTGTGAGTCCATTCTTATAAAAGGCATAGAAAATGCCATCACAACACAATTCGTTACTGAATAGCAGGATTTTCTAAAGGCACAACAAACCCAGCAGAGCTCCTGATGGCAGCAGGTGGCAATACCTGCTCACTGGATTGAGACTGCATTGCACACAGGGAGTCTCTCTCTTTGACGGGCTTCCATCTGGGCTCAGGCAGAAGAGCCTCAGCCACTGAGAAGGGATCTAGACCTTCTGCACCTCCCCTCCTTCCATCCCCCCGTAATCAGAGCAGCCCTTCTTCCATCTCATGTGAACTCTACGTCTTCTTGGCAAGGTTGTTTGGCAGATAAGGCACAGAGAAAAAAAAGGCCGGGCGCAGTGGCTCACACCTGTAATCCCAGCACTTTGGGAGGCCAAGGCGTGCGGATCACCTGAGGTCAGGAGTTCGAGACTAGCCTGCCCAACATGGCAAATCCCCGTCTTTACTAAAAATACAAAACATTAGCTGGGCAAGGTGGCGGGCGCCTGTAATCCCAGCTACTCAGGAGGCTGAAGCAGGAAAATTGCTTGAACCTGTGAGGCGGAGCTTGCAGTGAGCCGAGATCATGCCACTGCACTCCAGCCTGGGCAACAAGAGTGAAACTCTGTGTCAACAACAACAACAACAACAACAAAAACCACTGACCTACTGCATTAGCGTGTGCTTACATTTCATGATCTAATGACAAAGAAATTGCAGTGTAGATCCTGAGAGGAAATTTTTTAAAAGTAAAAATATTAGGAGCCATTGCCTAATTGAGGCCATCCAGAAATGAACTGCTTTGAAATTTTAATAAATTAAAAGAAATAATTAGACACCTTTTTTCCAACACGGACAAGCTAAACTCATGAGCATGTTTACATTTGATAAGACACTAGACAAACCTGGATGCAAATACCACATTGCAAACTTAAAACTGTCAAGTGAAAATGGAAAAAACTGAGCAGTCCCGAAATTCTCATTTTAAATGATGTTTAGAGGCAGTCGGTTCCGGATTTCTCACATTCCTGAATGATCGAGGCCTCTGTGCAAAGGGCACTGACAAGCTTTGTTCGAGGACTGAATAGCAAACAGCAGTCAGGCATCCTGAGACATGCCAGGAGAGTAATGCTTAGTGGAGTATCGTCCACTCCAGGCAATAAGTAATCTCAGCTGCAGCCCTGATAGAAGCTCCGTGTCCCCTAACTTCAGTGAGCTGCAGCGCAACCATTATTAGAGTTACCCCTCGGGAACCGAGGCAAGGGGAAGCAACCCAAGATGCTACTGAGGCTGCCGCTTTTGCTACGAGTGACAAACCATGAGTGTCGCAGGCCCAGGGGCTGGGTCCTCTGGCAGTGTGTGCGTATGAAACTGGCAGGCTAACTGGTTAGTGTGCAAGTCAGGTAAAATCTCAGCCCTATCACACTGTTGTAATGGCATCCAGAACCCCACCCCCCAACCCCCCAAAAAATACTCCAGTGCTCCCTGAGTTGCTTAGAACTGGGCCCGGGTATGGCCCTGGGTGGCCGTGGGATCAGGGAGCCCAAGATTTCCCACGTTCATTCTTGGAAAATTCCGTATATGCCAGGACCAAGGAACTTGTGGCATCCGGACCTTGTGGTCTGCAGCCCTCAATCAGGCTGGGGAGCCTGGATATGCCACGGACCTCCACCACCTGGCCTGTGAGTGCCACCGGCAATGTCTATGCTGCATGGCAGATCTGCACCCACTGCGGCATCCCACACTGTGGACTCACCGACAGCCCGCGTCTCGTACTCATTAGCCAGCTCCTCGGACTCCCCAGCAGCATTGATGTCGTTCTTCACTTTGGACAGAGTCTTCAGAAGCTTGCTGGCTCCCAGGGCTGCCAGAGTGCAGCCCCTGGTCTTTTTAGGGCAGTGGAGAATTTTAAGGTTAATTCTCTTTTTTTTTTTTTTTTTTTTTTTTTTTTTTGAGATGGAGTCTCACTCTGCCACCCAGGCTGGAGTGCTGTGGTGCAATCTTGGCTCACTGCAACCTCCGCCTTCCGGGTTCAAGTGATTCTCCTGCCTCAGCCTCCCGAGTAGTTGGGATTACAGGTGCCCACCACCACATCCGGCTACTTTTTGTATTTTTGGTAGAGACGGGGTTTTGCCATGTTGGTCAGGCTGGTCTCGAACTTCTGACCTCAGGTGATCCACCAGCCTTGGTCTCCCAGGGTGCTGGGATTACAGGTGTGAGCTACCTTGCCCAGCCTAAGGTTAATTCTTAATCCCCTGAAGTGGTCAAGTTAATATTAATGTCCAACAAGAATGTATTCATGGCAAAAGCAGGAAATAGTAGAATCAATTTGATGGGAGGGGTTAGAGAATGTGGCTGACATGTGCAAATGGAAATTGCTCTGGGGTCAGTGAGCCCTAAACTCTCCCTAGGAACTAGTCATAATGATTCAAAGTAAAATTTTTAATGAACATAAAATAACTTGGAACCTGAATACGTTCATAGTCTTGAACATAGAATTAGCATATAAAAATATTAAGAGTAATGCCATGAGAAACTGACAGTAAGACCATGATAGTGGGAGGTCTAATTCACTCTCATACTGGAATAGTTCAAAAGTTGAGTGGGTCCTGGGCAAGAACACAGAGGACTTGAACAATGTAACTTTAAGACTGAGTATGTGAAATCAGTATTCAATATCTAAGCTTAACTCTCAAAATAAAGTAATGTGAGTGTCCATAAACCATTTACAAAAGTTCTTACATGCTAAATCACTAGGAAAATTCTCAATAAACTTTCCAAAGCGGAATTTTTCATAGGGCCTACCTCCTGTCCCTAATGCAATAAAGCTGGAAATTAATTTTTAAAATAAAATGTGAATACCTCATCCACTTGGAAAACAATCACACACCCACACACACCTGAGAAGCAGGTGCCTACTGGACTGCCCCCCAAGCCCGACTACTTTCCAGGGACTGTCCCTCCCAACATGGAACAGAGGCCATGTTCATCTGACCTCAGACATCCCATTTCACTGATGATGTTTTATATTAGCATGTGAATTTTGAGAGGATCAGAACTGTTAAAACAAAGCATACATGTGGTGTAAATCTGTTGTGGGCTTGGGCACTTACCTGCTCCCAGATGACTTTGGAGAGTTCCTTCTTGTTCTGAAGAATGGCCCAGATGAAGAGAGCCTGCAGGGGGTGCCGAGTAATAGGAGACACGTCCTGGGGGGTTAGAGCATGTGGTCAGCATGTGCAAATGGTAACTATTCTGGGATCAGGAAACCCTAGAAGAGTGGCCCACGTTTGGAGGGCTCTGTGGCTTTGTGCACGACTCCATTCTCATAGTACAGTGATGTGATTTTCATCTCTGCAACTCACTGAGTGGTCTAATTTTGACACCAAATCTTTTGTCTGTCATAAAAGACAAAGTACAGCTAGATGAAAAGGTATAAAGGGTGAAAAAAAGCCTTGAGAGCAATTTGAAAACAGAATGACTCCTGACAGGCTGAGAGAAAGCAATTCCTTCTCATCATGTAACTCTGTTTCTCTGCCAGAAAAAAATTATTCAAACTAGATTCCAACTTTCCTATGGCTTAAGTTCAATTATCCCAACATAAAACTGTGGCTTATTTCTTTGGACGGTTATTCAAAGATTCGATGCCTAACCTATCACTTAGAATCCCAGCTCCTATTCAGCATTCTGTACCTTTAAGGGAAACTTTTCAGATAGAAAAACAACTAAATGGATATATGTAATATATTCCTTTTCAACTTCTTTACAGGTTTTACCAACGTATAAAATGCATGAGGCATATTATGCATATTGCAGAGAAATTTAACATGAATATAGTTGAACAGAAGCTCTTTAAACACTTCCAATTCCTGCAAACACCTAGTGCATTTAGATTTTTGCCACACACATACACGCACTCTAAAAATTCCATAATTACAAAGGATAATGACCTAGTTTGGGTTTCCCCAGAAAAAATCTGAGACAAGGATTTGAGGCAAGTAGTTTATTTTGGACGTGATCTCAGAGAAACCAATGGAGACCTGAGGAAATGATATCAGAAAAAAAGGGAACCCAATAAAAGGTGCATTATCAAGCCAATTATCTTGGCAGATAACTAGAGATCAGCCCCACTAGCCAACTCTAGGAGCCAGAGTAGCGCACAAACCTTCAAGTCAGCTCCTTCAAGTGGGGGTATTTATACACTGCTGGGCTCGGATCAGGACAAACTTTCGGCAAAGAGTTACAGGTGCTGGCAATCGGGAACTGGGCCTTCCTGTGCTTAAAATGAGAAGTCCCGCGGGATTCTAGGTGTTACAGCCACAAAATTGTCTCAAGTGAATATCCAGATTTATCTCTTTGAAAATATGCACTTCCCACCTTTGCTCACAAAAGAGCACGCGAGCTGCTATTTTAAGCAGATCATGGCCGGTGAAGGATGACAAGAGCATGCAGCTATTTGTTTGCCCCTATTCCCTATTAGATACCTTCAGAAAGTATACCACACCAAGCTCTGTAATTAAGAAAACCTGAGGCCGGGCACGGTGGTTCACACCTGTAATCCCAACACTTGGGAGGCCAAGGCAGGCAAATCACCTGAGGTCAAGAGTTCGAGACCATCCTGGCCAACGTGGTGAAACTCCATGTCTACTAAAAATACAAAAATTAGCCAGGCATGGTGGTGCATGCCTGTAATCCCAGCTACTTGAGAGGCTGAGGCGGGGGAATCGCTTGAATCTGGGAGGCGGAGGTTGCAGTGAGCTGAGATTGGGCCACTGCACTCCAGCCTCAGCAACAGCGTGAGACTCTGTCTCAAAAAAAAAAAAAGAAAAGAAAAGAAAAAAGAGGCCAGGCACGGTGGCTCACGCCTGTAATCCCAGCACTTTGGGAGGCCGAGGCAGACAGATCACGAGGAGAGGAGTTTGAGACCAGCCTGGCCAACATGGTGAAACCCCGTATCTACTAAAAATACAAAAATTAGCCAGGCATGGTGGCGAGTGCCTGTGGTCCCAGCTACTTGGAAGGCTGAGGCAGAAGAATTGCTCGAACCCAGGAGGCAGAGATTGCAGTGAGCTGAGATTGGGCCACTGCACTCCAGCCTTGGTGACAGAGCAAGACTCTGCCTCAAAAAAAAAAAAAAAAAAAAAAAAAAGAAAGAAAAGGAAAAGGAAAAAGAAAAACTGCAACTAGTCTGAAATATAGGATAGTATAGAACACAAAGCAAGACATTAGAAATAGCAGAGACTCACCCTATAGACAGACGCCTTATCTTAAGTAAACGGAGTTAAAAAAAAAAAATTAACAATGTCAATGTGTTAAGTATTTTATGGCAACAAGACAGGGAGTAGGGAAAATGGAGATATCTTGTGAGGGAAGCCTCAAAACATCCGAGAATTCAAGCAGGCAACTCTCCCAGTACCTACGTGGAGTTCTATGTCCATCTCATCCCGGCCATTTCTGTCTTCCTTCCGGAAGCCTCTTCGGAAGTTTGCAACCAGTTTCCAGACAAATGTGAGGAGGGCATCATTATAGGAATTCTTGGCGATCTGCAGATTCCGGTACACAAGGGTGCTGAAGTGGTTGGAGAAGAGCTCAGTGAGGACATCGTGAGTGAGAAACTTCCGCAGGTTCAAGCCGTTCTCCAGAAAGAGGCGGACAAACTTGGGTCTGTCCTTTATGAGAGCCGTAAACATGACTTCTTGAAGGTCAGCAGACTAAGAAGAAAGAACAGCGACAGTACTAACACTACACAAATACGGTAAAGAAAACACTAGGCATTTTTCTTCCTCAGCAGCACCGTATTTCCAGTCACAGAGTAATAATACCTTCAACTTCTCTTTCAATCCTGTCTTGAGAATAAAATGTATCTTTTTTCCATTTTAACACAACAGAGGATTACAGTTCAAACCTCTAAACAGGGGAATGGCATGGTGAAATCTTTGTCTTCAGCTAGATGTGAATTTGGTTGTGACTTACCTCCTTGCTAAAGTAGAGATAAATACACCCATGTAGAGATGACATTGGTCAAAAATTTTCCCCAGTATCAGACATAGAGGAAACACTCGATCAGAGGGTGGGGGTGTGGGGGTAGTAGTATAGCTGGAACCACCTCTCTGAAGTCAACAGTAGATACCAGTTATGACCCAGCCACCACCACTGTCTCTACACTGCACTGTGGGATCTGCTGCCCTTCACAGATGCCCAGGAACCTTCTATTATGGTGACTGCGTTCTCAAATACAGGTGTTAAAATAGAATGCATCAAACTATATGCAAACCACATGCCACCAAGCCAATGTCTGGTCATGTTACATACCAATAAGTCACTGGAACACTTGACAATAATACTTGATTTTTTTCTGTCTCTAGCTCTACTTTCTGGGCTTCTGACAAAACTTAGCCCATAGGAACTTACGGAGAATCTTAAGAAAGATCACCAGCATTTTGGGAGGCCAAGGTGGGAAAACCACTTGAGGTCAGGAGTTTGAGACCAGCCTGGCCAACAGGGTGAAACCCCATCTCTACTAAAAAAAAAATTAAAAAAAATTAGCCAGGTGTGGTGGCACGCACCTGTAGTCCCAGCTACTCGGGAGGCTGAGGCACGAGAATCGCTTGAACCCAGGAGGCAGAGGTTGCAGTGAGCCGAGATCACACCACTGCACTCCAGCCTGGGTGACAGAGCAAGACTCCATATCAAGAAAAAAAAAAAAAAAGGATCATCAATGTTTCCTTCAGACACAACCCAGTGGACTACAGGCCACTCCAGCTCTCAGTCGTGTTCTGTGTGTCCTCCATAGCATTTCTCACAATTTTATTCCATTGCCAACATTTAAAAATTAGAAAATTCATCAAAATCCATATTTCTAGCATTAAAATCTCAAGAGTAAAAGCTGCCAGGCACAGTGACTTACACCTGTAATCCCAGACCTTTGGGAGGCCGAAGTGGGAGGATCACTTGAGGTCAGGAGTTTGAGATCAGCTTGGTCAACATGGTGAAACCTCATCTCTACATCTCTACTAAAAATAAAAAAGTTAGCCAGGTGTGGTGGCAGGTGCCTGTAATCCCAGCTGCTTGGGAGGCTGAGGCAGGAGAATCGCTTGAACCTGGGAGGCAGAGGTTGCAGTGAGCCAAAATTGCAAAATTGCAAGCCAAAATTGCTTGGGTGACAGAGTGAGACTCCATCTCAAAAATAAAATAAAATAAAATAAGCTGGGCGTGGTGGCTCATGCCTATAATCCCATCACTTTGGGAGGCTGAGGCAGGTAGATTACCTGAGGTCAGGAGTTCGAGACCAGCCTGGCCAGCCTGGTAAAACCCCATCTCTATTAATAATACAAAAATTAGCTTGGCGTGGTGGCACACACCTGTAATCCCAGCTACTCTGGAGGCTGAGGCAGGAGAATCGCTTGAAACCGGGAGGCGGAGGTTGCAGTAAGCCAAGATCGTGCCACTGCACTCCAAGCCTGGGCAACAAGAGTAAAACTCCATCCCCCGCCGCCCCCCCCAAAAAAAGAGTAAAAACCAGCAGCTCCAACAACATGGGAACCATCAGTGGGAGCCAAGGGGCAGCTGCTTCCCAGAGCCTTGGATCTCCAGCTCCCCACGGTCCCCACCACTCCTCCCTGGGACCTACAGGCCCACTTACTCTCTTACACTGCATGCCTGATCCCTGGTCTAGGTGGATGTCTTCTGCCCACGGCAGCATTAATGAGTTTTGTTCCTGCCAAATGCTGGTCTCATGGGGATCACACATTGCTTAGAGAAGGAGTTGTCAAGGGTCCCTTGAGTCCCCACATTGTGGATCCTGCAGGGTTCAGCAAGGGAAGAGGGGGCTACCTGATTTCTCTTCTGTCCTTTAAGGAAGTGTTCCTCATGTCCAGCATTTCACTTTTCTTTTCTAAATCCATTGGCCTTTCCACTGGTCACACACTCGCTAGCATAGGGCAGTGGTTCTCAAACTTCAATCAGAACCACTTGGAGGGCCTGGTAACTGCAGAATGCTGGGAGTCAATATTGGAATTTCTACAAGTCTGAAGTGGAGCCTGGTGATTTGCGAGGTAGCAAGTGCCAAGGTTATTCCCAGGTTGCCACCAGTCCAGGACTCACACCTTGAGAACCACTAGCATATGGGAAGAGGCTTTGCCGCCAGTCACATCTTTGCTTTCAAAACTTGAGTCTACCATTTTCCAGCCATATGACCCGGAATATTGTGTCTCTGAGCCTCAGTTTGCTCTTCTAAGAAACAGATGGTTGCCAGGATGAAATAAGCTAACACAGGTCAAATTCTTCTCAGAGATGCAAGTTCAGACCAGGCCCTCAAAAAACTATCAGCAACTCCCCCTGCCATGATACCGATGAGGCCCTGCTTTCATAACCACAAAGGGGATCATCCATGCTGCGGACTGGTGTGACGGGCAAGTGAACACACATAGGGAAATTGCTTGGGGCAATTTATCAGTATTCCGGAGATTTTTATTTTAAAACAAATAATGCTTCACATGTGCCAATGCTCTAAGCACTTTAGAAACATTATCTGATTTAATCATCGTAACAGCCCAAGGAGATAAGTACTGCTATTATCGTCATCTCCATTTTCAGATGAGCGGTTGGGCACTGGTAAACACTGAACCACTGGCTCTCTCAAAGAAAACAGAAGCCCTGATTTGTAGTGTTTTCTGATTCCTACGGTGTAAATACTTCCATTGTGGCCAAGTTTCAGCTACCAATGTGACATCACTAAACACAGAATCGGGAAGAGATGTGGAGTGGCTCACCATCGTATAGCGTCTCCAGCTTCCACATACAATACGCAGAGTTGGCCTTCAGAGCAAAGGTAATAGTAAATGTAATCAAATAATTAGAAAATGATATGTTTTGATTATTGATTACCTTTGCAATTCTATAGAATTCTATAAAATCTATGTAACTCTAAGTTTGAAAAATTCACTTTTTTTGGTTTTTGTTTTTTGGGTTTTTTTGTTTGTTTGTTTTGAGACAAGATCTGGCTTTGTTGTCCAGGCTGGAGTGCAGTGGTGTGATCTTAGCTCATTATAACCTCCAACTCCTGGGCTCAAGCAATCCTCCCACCTCAGCCACCTAAGTAGCCTGGACTACGGGTGTGTGCCACCACGCCCAGTAAATTTATATATATATATATACTTTTTTTGGTAGACATGGGGTTTCGCCATGTTGTCCAGACTGATCTCAAACTCCTGGACTCAAGCAATCCTCTCACCTTGGCCTCTCAAAGTGCTGGGATTACAGGCATGAGCCACTATGAGCAGCCAAAGATAACTGATTAATAATGACTGTATTTAACAACCAACTTAAAAAATCTCTAAAAATTTAGTAGTTGGCTCTTGCCAGCCAATACAAGCTGGCTCTAACATGCCACTGTAGGAGGAAACTGAGGCATAGGGAAGTTAAATAATTTGCCCAAAGTCATGCAAATGGGCTGACTCCAGAGTCCATTTCCTCAGCCATTGTGCCCTTAACCCTTAACCATCTTTAGCTGAGTTAATAAAATTAAATGTACCATTCATGACGTGCCTAAGTTTATTTGTACTATCTGACCTCACTTAAATAGAACATTTCACACACAGTAATTCATTTATGAATCAATTGACTGGATCTACTTATAGTTCCACTTTCCCTCCACTAATTAAAGCCTTGCAATGTGCAGCAGGGTTCATTGTACTGCAAACACCATACACAAGATAATGTTTGCTAAAGGAATGAATAATTTAAAAATTCATAAGCCATGACTTTATTTATGCTGTTCTCATTAAAATTGATAGCATGTTTCCTGAAAGTGTTTTCTGACCCTGTCTGCCAAGAATGAAAGTTATGAAATATATGCACCTTCAAATCTATACATACATGTATAAAAGTACGTATATTATCACGGCCCCCTAATGACTGAAATTAATTGGGAAAAGCCGAAAACAAAGAAGCAGCCTTATAAAACTGAGTGTGATGGTTCATAATAATTGTCATTGAACAAGGCTCCTAGGGCTGACCGCACTTTAGTTGTACACAGGAGGATACTGCTGGAAAATGCAATCCTAAAACACTAATCACATTGAAAAGTGAGAAAATGCAGTCTGCTGGAAAGAAAAAAAAAATGCTTTTTATTGCATGTGCAACTTCCATATTAAAGCTGCTCATGTGGCTAGGGGAGTCCTGGTTTCTAGCTCTAAGACAGCAGTCACCAATCTTTTTGGCACCAGGGGCTGGTTTCCTGGAAGACAATTTTTCCATTGACCAGGCTGGGGGGATGGTTTTGGGATGATCCAAGAGCATTACATTTATTGTGCACTTTATTTCTATTATTATTACATTGTAATATATAATTAGATAATTGTACTACGCTCATAATGTAGACTCAGTGGGAACTCTGGGCTTGTTTTCCTGCAACTGGACAGTCCCATCCGGGGGTGATGGGAGGCAGTGACAGATCATCAGGCATTAGATTCTCATAGGGAGCGCACAACCTAGATCCCTCGCATGCTCCGTTCACAATAGGGTTCGTGCTCCTATAGGAAGCTAACGCCACCACTGATCTGACTGAAGGCGGAGCTCAGGCAGGAATGTGAGCAATGGGGAGCTGGTGTAAATACAGATGAAGTTTCACTTGCTTGCCCACTGCTCACTTCCTGCTGTTCCTAACAGGCCATGGACCTGTAACCCTGCTCTAAGACATTCACCGGGTAGCGTCAGTCAAGTTGTTCTCTTTGTCTCTTATGCATCTCATTACGGACAGTTATCTAATCAGAACTTGGCTAGGCAGGTGGGGGCAGGGAGCAAGAGTGCTGCCGTCTTGATCTGTAGTTAAGCTACTTTCAATCAACCAACATATATTTTTCCCATACATCTGCCCACGCACATCCAGGAGGAGATCTGCATCTCTGCACCCATATGGGGAATCACCCTCATGTTGTGGCTGAAGGCACTGTGGAGTTGATATTATTTTAGACCACTTATTTTTATTATCTCTTCACAACAAACCTACTAAGTCAATGTTATGACCCCATGCTGCAGACAAGGAAATAAAGACTCACCAAACCTGATATTCCGGAATAGAACAATCCTTTAAGAGATTCAGCATTGAATCTTGCTGGAAATGAACCAGCCATTGCCCAGACCACTGTGCAGACCCAACACTAGAATAACCCAGGAGAGCTTTGTGCTCACCTCCCATCGGCGGTCATTGGTGAAAATCTCATCATTTGCTAAGTCCAGCTGGTTCCACTCCAGCAGAAGCTTCAGCTGCCCATTCCAGTTATCCTTGTCTTGCTCATTGGTGCTGAAGGCTGTAAGAGGGCAGGAAAAGACTCAACTCACCAAAGGCCCAGAAATAAGAGTCAGAACCATTCAGTGTGGCCAATTATCAGAGCTATTTATCACAGGTGATGCTGAGCATGTTCTTTTACATTCAGACACTCAAACTGTCCTTCACTCTATCTTCACTCATTCTTAACCACATCCTGTATGTCCCAAAGTTTATAATGGGGATCAATTCAGGCTACAGTAACGTTTTTCCATTGAATATCCTAACGGTGTAATAATGGTATATTAAGGTTTTTCCCATAGATTCAGATTCCATAGCATTATATTTCAAGGCCATATCTGACTTATGCTACATCTAAATCTATGAAACAATAAGCCACCTTACAACATTGTTATTCTTGTCTTTTCCAGAGCTAATATTTTCTGCATCTACGTATCTGTACAGATATAATTCCATTTTAATAAATACTTTTATAACCAAATGTCTGGCAAGTACAATAAGAATGATTCTAATAAATTGCTAATGCTTTAATTGCACTTCCAATGTGCCTAGCTCTACTCTAGCTAATTTACATTTATCAGTCACAAATTCAAGTCTAGACAACCCAGGATCTATTTACTATGGGTAACATCCACTTTATGGAATTCTAAAGCAGCAAAGATCCTGAATGAGAATATTTTAACCTGAGTTTCATTCATAAGCTTCAGGAAATTTGTAAACTCCTGAAATTAAATGCAAAATTACTTATGTGTGAAGTATGTGTGCATATGTGTACAAATATGTAGAATGCTAGGACAAAGACCCATAGTTCTGCCATATTCTCAAAGGAATCTGAGGCCCAGTAAAAAACTATTTTCAACCACTGTTAGAAAAAGCTCTTTGGAGACTACTGTGATTGTGTTTGACAAGTATTTTAATGACATAAAAATTATTATTCTACCAAATACATATGACCAAGGAGATTCACCTCACCAGGGCAAGTGTAGTTATTCTAGCTTCCAATCTAAGATCATCAAAATTAAGCACAAGCTTGCCTTTCAATAAAGCTGTTTTATAAAAGAAATGTACCTCATGAAAAGCCACAGAAGGCAACACAAAGCTGACACTTCAAAAGGAGCTATTTTTTACTCACCTTTATACAGAGCGTAGGAGATGGCATTGCTCACAATTTCGTCCCCAGCTTCTTCCATTTTAATAACTGTTAATAGGTGAGAACTTTCAAGAATTTCTTTGAGCTGGTGAAATTAAAGAACAAAGTTGTCAGCCAACAGATTTTAGGCATGAGGAGCATAAACTTCTTTCTTTTTGTGAGAGATCTTTTTTAAAAAGACCACCTGTAGTGGAGTTCCAGATCAGCTTCTCATTTCGGAATTGTAATGAGTCCTTGACTACAGTGAGAATAAAGTACCGGTTATATAAGAGCACACGTATCAAAAAGCCCCTATCAAAAAGCTGAGAGCCTCATTTGACTAGGGATGTGTGCGTCTGTGTGCACGTGCGTGTGTGCATGTGTGTGTGTCACAAAGCTGACACATGGCAGATGCTCAGTTATTAAACGACTGAGTAAATCAAGAAGGGACAATAAAAGACCGTAGACACCATCCAAGTGTGCCCATAAGGATTTAAACGATAGGAAATAAAAGCTCAAATGCAAACAAGAAAGAAGACTTGGAAACTGGAGAAAAAGATTAAGAATTTTCTACATTGTCCTTTGTTATTTTTCTATAATGTTTAACTTTAAGACATTTTAAAAAGTAAAGAACCCCGTAATTCCAAGGTTACGAGCACTGGCGAGCCCAGCAGGAGCTTGGTGAGTAGGGCCCCTTCTAGCCAAGGGAGCAAGTCTGGTTTCCTTCCATTAGACTGAGTTTGAGGCAATGGTGGGCTTCCCTGGCGACACTTGGAAATAAGGATCTGGAACTGCAGAGGCTCCACTGGGTGGGAGACGAAGTCTCAGCATCTAGCTGTTTGAAGATGGCAAGAAGAGCACTTGGATTTGGAAATTAGAAGGTGAACTTTTGAGGCTGCAGCTGCCTGGGAAAGGTGGCGATGGAGGTCTTAGTTCAAAGCACGCAGGTAGTTGATGAATAAATCAATGAAAACTGCAGGAAAAGATAAACCATGGAGATTTTGAAGGAGAGGGTGGACGGGAATGATAGCATGAAGGAAAGGCCCTCTTCATCTGTCTGCAGCCTTTGTTCAGGCTGAAGAATAGGGGTCCAGCTAGGACTGACAGGCAGGGAGGAGGTCTGAAGGTCCCCAAATTCTGGGGCACAAGGGGAGGTGGGCAGAACCAAGGAGTTATTTTTCTTTTCCTTTGAAATAAAAAGGAAGAAGAAGAAAATGAATATGTATATCAAGTAAACCGATGGACCCCAGAGACAGCCACAGGGGCCTCCTAGCTGGGACTCCATCCCGCACACTCCTGCCTCCTCCATCCTCTGCCCCACTGCTGCCAGAGTGAGCTCTCCTGAACACAACTCCCATCTCGTTTTCTCCCTGCTTCAAACCTTTTAACAATATCCCATTACACTTGAACAAGACCAAACAGGGCCCAGGGAGCCTCCTGGGCTGGGCCCTCACAAGTTCTTAGTTCCCACTCACCATTTCCACCCTCATGGCCGTCTTTCACTCCTCAGGCATGCCTCCTACCTCAGGACCTTTGCACATGCAGTTCCCACCACCACCACAACCCCAGCCCCCACGTCGTTAACTCTCTCCATCCTTCAGATCTTGGCTCTCATGTCACTTCCTCTGGGAAGCCTTCCAGAAAGCCCCACACCAGTCCAGGCTCCCTCAGCACCTGCCTTTCTGTATCTATGTTACCTTTCTTCTGAACACCCATTTCAGCTTGCAATTACAGAATGCATTGTACTGTCATCCCTCGACATAAACCTTTTTTCAATTTCGGTTTTGTCTATGAGAACACAGACTGTTTCTGTTGTGTACGCAATTCTTTCTGAAGTGCCTATTTCAGAACCTGGCACGCAGTATGTGCTCAACAAATATCTACTGAATAAATTAATAAATGAGAGTTAAAGATGAATAAATAAATGAATGATATCTAGATCGGTTGATAGATTGGAAGACTGTGAAGGGTCAAGTTCTCAAGAAGTTGACAAATAGGCATGGGGGGAATAACCGTGGTGGCTTTTAGGAGAGGAAGGTGTGAGTCCAGTGGGAGAGGTATAATGCGTCACTTAGAGTGATCAAGAAGCTGGGAGTCCAGGTTTGGGGTTGCTTGTCTACATAGTCAGTGAGGACACCCAGGACTGCCCTGGAAAGTTGCCTAATTAATATTTGCCTGAATGTATACATTCATTAATTAATAATCCCACTCGAGCTTGGTCTTTTGGGAAATCTGTACCAATTGCGAAGCCCTTTATGAGTGCCTAATTAAAATTCCAGACTAATTTTTATTATTGATATATGTCTTCTGATTGACGTGATTATAATTATGATATATCATTAGCATATTCAGTATGAATATGAATTAGCTATGAATTGCAGAAAGGATAATATAATCAAAGAAGGTACAATATGCCTTTTAGCCTATTTCAGATGAGTTGCCTGTAACCGTTTTCATGAAGCAGAAATCAAAATCCCTTATAAAGGGTGTGGTAACCCTTCAGATGGCCTCTGTTCGTTGGACACAGCCTGGTCAAGACCTGGCAAGCCAGCTTGTACAAGGAGTAAGAGGAAAGTCACTGAAGTGGACCTGGGGCTGTCTTTGGTGGATAAATTAGGAGTCATCTGTTTCTTCCTCTATGGGGATCCCTGAACTGACCACTGAATTTATTCCATCCGTCACAGGAAATGACGTTGAGAGTGGTAATCAATATGCAATCAATACGCAGTGTCTTACTTTGATATGTATACTTTGGAAATGGCCTGTTTATATGCTTTTTTTGATTGTTTGTTTTGGTTTTTTTCCTGAGATGGGATCTCACTGTCACCCAGACTAGAGTGCAATGGCTAGCAGCTCACTGCAGCCTCAAACTCCCTGGCTCAAGTGATTCTCCCACCTCAACCTACCAAGTAGCTGGTACTAGAGTTGTGTGTCTGGGTAATTTTTGTTTGTTTGTTTGTAGGGACGGAGTCTCACTACGTTGTCCAGGCAGGTCTTGAACTCCTGGCCTCAAGCGATCTTCCGGCCTTGGCCTCCCAAAGGGTTGGGATTACAGACAAGAGTCACTGCACCCAGCCCTGTTTATATGTTCAGAACTGACTCAAAGTAGTTAAGTATGAATGCCTAGAGAATCAAAAATATATAAGCACTTTGGAAAGCGAGTGCTGCTTTTCCCAATCAACAGAATTCCATAGGGAGAAGCCTCATCACAATTAGCTGCCTGGTCAATCTCCACTCTTTCACTTAGCCCTACTCAGGGTTGGGGAGCAATATTGGCGTTGCCCAGCCAGCCCTCTCCTTCTCTCACTGGGCTTTGCTCCTTGCAAAGTACTAGTGCCCTGGTCTGCAGCCTCCATGTCTAGCCCAGCAGGGAGGTCAGCAGGTGTCCGGGGCTGCCTGTGTCAGGGTGGGCTCATCTGTCTTATTCTGAGACTTAGCATATGTAGGTCCAATGTTCTGCACCTCAAGCCACCTCTTTCAACTTTGCCTTCATCATCAGTAAGGCTGATATGTTTATCTCTTTTTGCCAGAGTCTTTTGTCTATCTCTCTCCTGGACTTGAATAAGATATTACAACGTCCCAGTAAGAACATTCGTATAAAACCATCAGTTTTCCCTTTTTCAGTAAACTCTGAAAAATGCAATATCTCAAGTAGAAATATCATACACTTGGTGAGCCATGTAACTTATTGAACTTCAATTTCCAGCAAGTCACCTGCTGAGTCTGAAAGGCACGGAGAAAACATCGAATATGTACGGCTGCTGGTGGAGTTGGGCGTTTAAGGCATTCTCCCTTCTCACAAACTAGTCTCATTTTCTCAGCCTCCAGACACGGTCCCAACAACTCACCCATTTGATCCAACTCTCAGTCTCCTCCTCCGGCAGCCGGGACACCGTGCGGGGTAAAAAGCGTACCAGCTTCTCCTTGACGGCAGAAGATGTCAGGGCATCCTCCACCTCCACCAGGCTGGCGATCACATCAGCGATTTGGCCCGAGCCTTCCACCACCACACAAGGAATTTTACTTTTGATGGAAGTATTGATGGCCTGGAGGAAGGAGACAGAGTCAGGCAGATCAAAGAGACCTTGGTCCATAGAACCCAGCTCCGGACTAAGGTTCTGAGCCAAGCTGGTAAAAACACATGGACCCATCCCTACATTTTTTCCTTTGGGGTTTTTATTTTAATTCAGAAGCAAATCAAAAGTTGGCAATTGCTTTATGAATGAGAAATGTAACCTGCTTTATGAAATCTTGCACCCACAACGAGTTCCATAATAAGAACACATATGACTAGCTTAAGTTTTCCATGGGTAAGTGCTTTAAAATATCCCTGTACACAAAATCGATCATTCCAAGTACTGACATAATAGATTTGAGTGGCACGTATTAAGACTGTATTCAGCATTACTGTTGATAGCTTATCTCAAAGAGGTTAGTAGTAACCAATACTCATACTTTTAAGGTATGAAAATAGCTTAAAAACAGCAACCACATGTTTTATGTGATGTTTACTCACACATTTCCCTCCTCAAATAATTTCCCCTGCCCCTGTTATTAAAAATGAATAAATATATCTTCTTTCTGGATAAACACCTAGCACACTTTTATGACCTTTATAATAACTGCAGAGGTCAGCAGAGGAGGATCATATTTTAAGGATTCTAATCACTGGACAGCAAGATACAATGATCTACCTAGAGGTACAAAAGAAATTGAAAAGCACTTGTTTTTAGGTCTGACTGCTTTCCTTAGAGAAGACATCACATAGAAAGCCAGATGTGTGGTGCCACGATTGGGGACCACAGAGGGTGAGAGTCACAGAGCAGGCTGGGGTCCCTCTGTGTGCCTCAAGTGTCTGCACCACAGGCGGTCGTGGGTGTGCTGATGGGGGCTGAACCAGGAAGCGATGCAGAGGCACCAGCTGGGTACTTTCTTTTTTTCTTTTCTTTTCTTTTTTTTTGAGACTAAGTCTTGCTCTGTCTCCCAGGCTGGAGTGCAATGGCGCAGTCTCGGCTCACTGCAACCTCTGGCTCCTGGGTTCAAGCGATTCTACTGCCTCAGCCCCCTGAATAGCTGGGGTTACAGGCACCTGCCACTGCGCCCAGCTAATTTTTGTATTTTTTAGTAGAGACGGGGTTTTGCCATGTTGGCCAGGCTGGTCTCGAACTCCTGACCTCAGGTGATCCACCTGCCTCGGCCTCCCAAAGTGCAGGGATTACAGGCCTGAGTCACAGTGCCTGGCCCTGGCTGAGTATTTTCTCCTAGTTCCCCTCACCTCTCCTGTCCTCGCTACTGTAGGTTGTTAATTGGCTGAGCAGACGGCACTGGAAACTGCCGTAGAAATGCAGTGCCCTAGATCAGCAGCAGCTCTCCAGTCTCCCCCTACACCCTAAGCCAAGAAATCTTCATTCCAAATCTAATATTTGCTCTGGTAAGATAATAAATGTAACCGTATTTCAATGACTTTTTCTCCACCCCTCTTCCTCTTTGATGTGGCTGCTTTTTCAGATTCGAGCCATTTATGCTGGAAGTTGCAATTTTTTGAATTTTTGGTGATCACCTTGGCGATGACCTTGAGCAGTAGGATATAAATAACTCCCACATGCTTAGCGTTCCAATAATGGAACACTAGACATAAAAAGGTTTTGATACACTGACACACACTGAGAAAAATCTCTATTTTAATGTTTCCTTGAAGATTTTTATTTAACCATGGTCTCAATTGTAAATCTCATAGTAGATACTCAATAAATATCTGTTGAATGGATGAAGAAAAAGACCATTGTTACATAAAAGAATAACGAGAAGTACTAGATGATGATTCCAGATAACTTTGCCAGCACTTACTTTTAGCTCTAGGGATTTACTCTGATGAAAGATCGAGGGTCACAGGTATCTTTAATCTATTCCCTGTCTTAGAGGTAAAATAGGGTGTGTAAAAGGAGGAATATGCAAATCATTGTGGAAATTCATGAAAAAGATGAGTTAAAAATGACTTTCTTGTGCTATTCCTAGAAAAATGAGCTCTTGAAAATTGTTTACAATACTTACTAAAATGCAGTCATACTACCTATGGGGTACTATGCTTATTTATTAAAACTACCTATGGGGTACTATGCTTATTACCTGGGTGACAAAATAATCTGTATGCCAAACCCCGTGACATACAATTTACCTATACATAAAACCCACACATGTACCCCTAAACCAAAAAGTTAAAAACAAATAAATAAAAATATAAATGAATAAAAGGTTTTGATTCAAGTGGATTCTCAAACAAAAACAAACAAACAACAAAAAACGTCAAACAGAAGCCTGGCTGCAGGCAGGATGAACTCAGTCATGAGTCCACACAGATTGGCCGGGAAGTCAAATTCCTGCTCAGTTGCTCAATAGTGCAGGTGCAGAAACATTCAAGAAGTTTCCATGATCTCAGAATCACTTAGGGTTTGGGATTCCATCATGCGACATACCTGTATCCCCACATGGCATATAAATGGGCCTTAGGTGGTCTGGAAACATTTGATTTGGGGGCAATCTGTGTGTGTACGATCATAGCTCATCTCAATGTAGATGGGGTGGCCATAGCTTTCTCATATGTATGCTGATTACAATCTTTAAGTCTCCTGAGTTAATGTCACCTCTTCTCTTTGGCAGGTTGATTGTCAGGGCCAACACCAAGTACACAGGTTATTCATGTCACTGAAATTCTCCTCCCAAATCTTCTTGACTGAGGAACAACCGGAGTCTGTGAGGGGAACGGTATGTGGAGGGAAAACACTACCTACTTGCTGTAGTAAAATGAACTAGGTTAGATTAGATAAGCTCAAATCCCTGAAAATACAAATTTGTTGGATAGGTTTATTAACCAACCTTCTAGAAAACTAAATCAGGACTCACTTTCAAAGTCTCTTTTCCACCTCCTTGGGCAAAACACACGATGGGGATCTTGCCACCGTAGTTGGAATCTGTAACACATAAAAAGTAAAGGATATTTTGAGCTCATTGGAAATACTCATCTACCACTGTGAAAAGTTGGACCAAGAGCTTCTGCCCCGTGAGCCACGGTGTGGAGAGACAGCTTCACATCTCACGGACTTGAACATTATCTACTCATGAAAGACGGACGAGTGTTTTCACCCCACGCTAGTAATAGCATGACATGGGTCATGTTGCAATTTGTCATTGATACTTAAAATACATATTTAAATATTTAAAGCCCGTGCATTATTTACCTTTGCACCTATAAATTAAACTAGGTTTAAGTTTATCCTTATAATAATGATGCTCTCACTCATTTGCATAATCCTATGCTTTCTTGAGTGAGTGAGAACTTGGCATAACCAGTGGTCTTTCAACAGAGTTTATTGCATATATAGTTTCTTCCCTCGTGTATGTCCGATTGTGAAAGGAAAATAACTGAGAACATCTCCAACAAGTTCCTGCCATTATGTCTATCACTAAATCACAAGGTAATCTTGTTTCACGGCAGGACACGTCTCAATACCCTGTCCACAGGAAGAAAGAAAGTACATGTCACTTAACTATGGCAAATAATGGCTTTCACTCAACTATTGCATTCTTCTCTTGAGACCACTGTTTTCTGTTACTCAGAAGTAGCCAAGATTCACAAAAGTAAACCATACCATTGTTAAACTAGTAGGTTAGTTTTATCTTTTCTCTCCTAGCTAATTGCATTGTTTCATAAACTCATATTTGTCGTCGCAGATCGTATTTGTTCTTAAATGGTATCTACCAGAAGAAGACAGCCAGCTCTTGATACTGACAAACTACAGTGGAAGATGGCCGTATTTATCATTGCCTTCAGCATGTTGAAGGGTACATACCACAATGACCCTGGCAGAAGCATTCCTGGTGTGTTGAAAAAAGAAGAGAAATAACAGTTCTTTGGCAATAAAAATACCTGATCAGGCGTGTTTCTCATGCATCACTCAATAGTTGGTAGCGATTGTTGTTGATGCTGTGGCTGCTATGGTTATTGTACATGTCTGGTGTCCTACTTCCTAACCACTGACCTTGAATAGTGCGCTCAGAGATGTATTTCTCTAGCTGATTCCGGAGCTTTGCTTCCACGGTGGGATGTCCATGACAGCCATTGTCCACGAGCAGCAAATGCGTGTGGTTGTTGTCCAGGATATACAGAGGGTCTCTCGTGAAGTCATCCATAAGGTACTGGGCTGAAAAATAGCCCTGAAAAGTACAGGGAAGCTTGTCTTTGAGACTGTATTATCAGTCAAGATACATGGTGATATTTTTACATATTCATACGAAAGCTAATACTTTAGGTTCAATTATATTATGCCTCCTCCCAGATTTAAAAATTCTGAATTTTTAAATTCAGAGGGATCTTAGTGATCTTATAGCACCGACTTCCTTTTAAATATGAGGAAATGGAAGTTCAAAATGGTAGTGTCACGTGCTCATTTTCTCATAAATGGCCAGAGACAATGTAAGGATCAGATTCCCAGTCCCATTCTTGGTTCATTGCTCCGTGCTCTTTCGCAAAAATTCAACAAAATTGAAATTCAGCATTCAGGAAACTGTATGTGCAAATGTGTGTGTGTGTGTGTATTTGTGTGTGTGTGAATACAGGTAGAAGCAGACATTGAAATGCACACATACATAGTTGTCTGGAATCTATCATATGCCATGACCCATGCCAGGATCTAGGGATTAGAAAATGAATGAAATAGTCTTTGCACTTGAGAAGCGCACAGCAACAGGACCACAAAAAGAAGTAATTAAATGGATACTTTGTCCCCAAAATACCAGAGGATAAAAAGCTGCTTGAGGAACATAAAGAAAGGAATCCTTACCAAAAACGTTCCTCACTCTCAAGCTCCATTCAAAGGCATTTAGTTTTTAAAGTATCAGGGTTGCATTAAAAAGTTTTCAATCTTAACTCCAAGAATAGAATTTAATAAGTTTTAAAAATAATATCACCACCAAAACTCAAGGAGAACAGAAGGAAAAAATAGTATTCAGAAAGAATTCAGAGTTTTGCTGGTGATATGATTTTTAAAATGTATTAATTTGAATACTGTAGTGGTTAAAAGATTGTGCACCATGGACCTGCCACTAACGAGATCTGTGCACTAAGAAACTTTCTTACTTTCTGTATGCCTCACTTTTCTCATTTATAATGAGAAGGGAACAGTAGTACTTACCTCATAGTTTTGTTATGAAGATCAAATGAGTTAATATACGTAAAACACTAGAATAGAACCTAGTACACAGTAAGTACTATTATATTAACATTAGGTTTTGTTATTATGATTAATGAATTACTTATTAATTTTAATTTTCCTAATAAAGGTATATGGCTATGCATTTCACTTTGAGTGCGGCTTTGGCCATACTGATATATTAATATATATTATTCTCAATAGGTAATGTTTTCATTTGCATTGCTTTCTAAGTTATCTGATATTATATTTTTGAAAGATCATTCTAGATCCTACATTTGTTTACCAGATGGTTGGGATAGTTGGTTGTTTCTTAATTTCCAAATGATTGGCAGGTTCTTTAATCTTCATATATTCATTTCAAGTTTTACTTGTTGCCAGGAAATGGGCCCTATAAGCAGCCTCTAGGGAGATTTTGAAGTCTTTTCTCATTCCTATTCAGGGGTAAAAATACCTACATTTTCAAGGCTTTTTGTGAGTCTGTGAATTAACACATGTACTGCATCTACCATGGGGATAATTACACAACACTGCATTGACTCCCGGACTCCCGTGCCCATTACAAATATTGCTAATTGATAATGGTATTCTTTCCCACTTAGCCTGCCACTGTCCTCAAAAGCCTGCTCTAGGCCACTCTCATCCCTGAAGTTGGCATTTTATGTGAAACCATTTTGCCATCCCTTGTTGAGCATGTAATAATAATAATAGAAGCTACCATTCACTCTGTACAATTAGATAAATCAGTCCCATAACAATATAGGTTATTATTATAAAAAACTTGAAGAAGGGAACTGGCTCCAGACTATGCAGCTCGAAAAGGAATGATTACTCCAACCCCAGCTTCTCTGTCTTCGAAATGTACCCTCCTCCCCCTCTACCATGCTTCCTCCTTGAAGATGCACAAAAAAACACCTCCCACTCTCCCCTGCCCCTTATATATCTCAAAAATGGTAACCAAGACACAAAAATAAAATAATTCTAAAAGAAGAATCACAGCAATTCCAAAAATCCTTAACATTTGCTGCTTCTAAGGAGCCCAGATGGGAGAAGGTATAGCTTAAATGTGGATATCTGAACATTTGGCCCAAAGCTTCTGGGCAGAGAACACCTGTTGCTTAAGAAGGTCCTCAACTACTAGAAATGTTGTTTTCAAAATGCTACACTTGATACAAAACCCATATGTCTACCTTGTATTTTTAACATGAAAGGCTCATTATTCTCTAAATATGTTCACAGGAAACATTTGCCGGGTGGAGGCTGGGGGTTGTCTCACAACCTTCTTAATGCCAAATTAACCAAGGACAATATCCATTGATTTGTATTCCTCTGAGTGTAGCCAAGCAATCAAGATACTGCGGTTGGGCTTGAGCCCTCCTGAAATGGATGTAAGCCTTGGTTATAAAGAATAAAGAACCTGACTGTGATATGAGATTGCTGAGAACACATCTTAATGAACAAAGCAACATTCATTGTTAACTCTTTCCCAGCAGTTAATTATGTACGTCATCCTTGTTTTCAATTCCTTTAAGGTCCCAAAGACACTCCTTGCAAGGCAGACTTCCCCATGGTCTGGCTCCATCACAGAGCCCCAGGGTTCAGGCCACAGGCTCATGCCATGGTCTTTCTTCCATGTGACCTAGCAGACCTCCTCCTGTCCCACCCGTACCTCAGCATCACAATTCCTGATGAGGGTGTCCCGGTTGGAGACCATGCCCCAAGCTGCCACGCCAATGGCCACAATATTCTCCTCTGAACTCCTGCTGATGGTGTTATCTCTCACCACCTCCCCGATGTACTTCATCAGGCCATAATGGGTGCCTCCCGTGAGAATCCAAGCACCTGTCAACACATAGGAACAGTAAATGGTCAACCGGCACTGGGCAAAGTTTCCATTCTGGACTCACAGGCCCCTAAAATCAAGTCCCCATCCCTGTAGGCGTCAGGACACAGCACTGGCAGCTATGTTGTATGGCAAGGAAGAAGAGGGGACCTCAGACAGTGCTGCTGAGAAGTGTTCACTTAAAAATACAGATTCTTGGCCAGGCGCAGTGGCTCACGTTTGTAATCCCAGAACTCTGGGAGGCTGAGGCGAGTGGATCACGAGGTCAGGAGTTCATGACCAGCCTGGCCAAGATGGTGAAACCCCATCTCTACTAAAAATACAAAACTTAGCCAGGCGTGGTGGTGGGCGCCCGTAATCCCAGCTACTCAGGAGGCTGAGGCAGGAGAATTGCTTGAACCCGGGAGACGGAGGTTTCAGTGAGCAGAGATCACACCACTGCACTCTAGTCTGGGCAACAGAGTGAGACTCCATCTCAAAACAAAACAAAACAAACAAACAAACAAACAAAACCAGATTATTGACCTTATTCCATATCTACCTCATCAGGCTCTCTGGGAGGTGGGTCCAGGGAATCTGTCTGCATCTTTAACCAGTCTCTAGAGGACTCTCATGGACAATGAATGTCTAACCAGAGCCTCTAAACAAGTTAGGCAATGCCACCATGGTAAGCCGGGCACTCTGCTCCTGGACCCCCATATTGGTTGGATTCGAATGAATCTTCCTTGGATAGCCTTTGTGTCAATAACTTTGCTTTATAAAACACAATTCTGTATGCTGGCCTTTTTAAGGTTTAGATCTGATTATCTTCTCAATGCTAAGGGTTATACAGGGTTTTATTGGGGAGGGGCAAAGTAGAATAAATACTATACCTACAAAAATATTATTTAGCATAAAACTAGAATCTAAAGTTGGAAATGACCTTAGTATAATATGCTGCCCACGTACGAATCTACCCTCAGAGCGGTCACTGGCCTCTCTGGATTAGCTCTTGTAAGAAAGCATCAGGAGCTGAGAGGCAGCCCCCTCCTCCAATCGTTAGAAAGTCCCTTTGTTGACTATTTCCATTCTCTAATTTTACTACAGTCTTCAGCAATGAGGAACAATTTTAGTCATCTCCACATCAAAGTCCTTCCAATATTTTCAGGTGAGTATGATGTGATCCTTAGAAGTTTTACACCTACTTCTTTTAACCAGTTCTTACAGGGCATAAATCCAGCCTCTCAGCACACGGTCTCCTTCCTCTAGACAGATTTTGACACCGAGGGCTAACCTAATCAAGCCTGCCAAACTTCACCTGCCTTGCTTGCTTTTAACTGCTTCCATCTAGTTGATTTTAAAATCTATGTAGCTAAAAGTCATGTAGACAAACAATATATAACTAAATCACCACTAGTTTCCTTCTAGATAACATCTCTGACACATACGTCACTATGATAACAGTTGCTAAAGTTGTTTTTCAGGAACTAGCGAGCTGCTCTTATCCAGTTCAAAACAGCTGAGACTGTTGACTCTTCAACTGGGCGTGCACATATGCCCAAGAGATGACCTTTCAATGTCAGAGGGCCAAAACTCCTCCCTCAGATCACGCTAACACTGCCATTTTCTGAACAGGTGTCCTATGAAGAGCCATGAACCCTGACTACACCTGCACAAACCACCAATTACCTCATTCCTTCTCCACTGCCTATCACCTTTCCCCACGCCATAGAACCACCGCCTCTTCACTCCTTAAATATCCCTAATCCTTATCTTTGAGGAAGCAGATTTGACAACTGTTCTCCCATCTCCTGACTGGGCAATCCTTTTCTCTTTTGCAAAACCCATGCTTACAGTGATTGACTTCACATCCATTTCAGCCATTTAACGTTCCCTTTTAAAATGAGACAATGGGAAATGAAGGTAGCACTCCAAGTGGACAACCAGCAACAATGAAACTATTCAACTTCTTCAATCGCTTCACTTCATCTACATAGAAATAGGCGTCCCAGCCCAGGGATTTTTTTTGTCTGTTTTGTTCTGCTGTATTCTAGCACATAAAACAATTTCTAGCACATTATAGGCATCCAGTAAGTATCTGTTTGGTGAATGAACAAGGTGTGTTCAGGATTTAGTAGCAAGGAAGCTGAGTTGCTCAATTTTGTATCAAAGTGACAACCCACAGTGTCCCCTCTGGTTGGTCAGGAAACTGAGAAAAATAAATGGGAAAAACAAAACAAAACATCTCAGTTTCTTCCTGACAACAACAACAACAACAAAAAGCCCACATCTAGATTAGGACACGTTTCCTTAGTTCTATCAGTCAATATTAACTTGCATAAAAGAGGTTTTTGGTTTTTTTGTTTGTTTGTTTGAGACGGAGTCTTGCTCTGTTGCCCAGGCTGGAGTGCAGTGGCCGGATCTCAGCTCACTGCAAGCTCCGCCTCCCGGGTTTATGCCATTCTCCTGCCTCAGCCTCCCGAGTAGGCAGGACTACAGGCGCCCCCCACCTCGCCCGGCTAGTTTTTTGTATTGTTTTAGTAGAGACGGGGTTTCACCATGTTAGCCAGGATGGTCTCGATCTCCTGACCTCGTGATCCGCCCGTCTCGGCCTCCCAAAGTGCTGGGATTACAGGCTTGAGCCACTGCGCCCGGCCAAAAGAGGTTTTTAAATGTTAAGGCTGGATAAACTGAATCTAATCATGAACAAACATCAACTAATTCCACTTTGAGAGACAGTCTACAAAGCAATTGGCCTATACTCTTCAAAAAATGTAATGCAAGACAAGGGAAGGCTAAGAACCAGTTCCAGATGTAAGAAAACTAAAGAAGAAAAAAAAAAAGCAAAGCTAAATCGATTTGGAATACAAATTGAGAAAAAATAATGTTTGCTCTAAAGGACTTTGTTGAGATAATTAGCAAAATGTGAGTGTAAACTGTGAGATAGCAGTATTGGTCCATGGTAACTGTTCAGGTTTGAAAATTATATTGGGCTATGTGAAAAAAAAACCCTGTCCTCAGGAGGGGCATGTTCATCTACTTAGGGAGTTAAGGATCATGATTCCTGCAACCTGCTTTCAACAGTTTCCCCCAAAATCATATGTAGATATTTATGGAACAAGATGAGACAAATGTGGGAAAATGTTAACAATTGGTGAATCTAGGTGAAGAATGTACAGATGTTCATTGCATTATTTTTGCAACATTTTTGTAGATTCAAAACTTTTTAAAATATAAAGTTAAAAAGAAAGAAAGTGTTTCAAGTAACACAGCCTTAGTTGCTTTGACCTCAATCAGACACAGGATGCTTACAATTTCTCAGGCACCGTCACTACTTTCTTTTTTTTTTTTTTGAGACGGAGTCTCGCTCTGTCACCCAGGCTGGAGTGCAGTGGCCGGATCTCAGCTCACTGCAAGCTCCGCCTCCCGGGTTCACGCCATTCTCCTGCCTCAGCCTCCCGAGTAGCTGGGACTACAGGCGCCTGCCACCTCGCCCGGCTAAGTTTTTGTATTTTTAGTAGAGACGGGGTTTCACTGTGTTACCCAGGATGGTCTCGATCTCCTGACCTCGTGATCCGCCCGTCTCGGCCTCCCAAAGTGCTGGGATTACAGGCTTGAGCCACCGCGCCCGGCCTACCGTCACTACTTTCAAAAGTGCATCACCGATCTCACAATTACAGACCAAGCAAATTACAACTGTCCTTTTCAATTCGCCAGAACCGAAACTCTGGGGAAAATTTTTCGTGTGTTAATAACAAAATGAAAATCTTACAAGATTTAAAAAATTCCCCTAAGGAAGCACCTTAACGCTGATTTAGAGTTACTTTGTGACGCTCCCCCACTATCTGCCAGAGCTCCCCGTCCATTCATTTGAGGATATTGCTTTCAATAAAATAACGATTAATCAGATGGTTCTAGCAGCATCCGGATTCTCCGGAATTGCACACGGGAACTGCCTCCTCTGCTCCCCAAACTTGGTGCAGCCCGAATGGAAGAACCGGGTCGCTGCTCCGACCCCCACCTTTGGACTGCGCGATGTAGATGAGCCGGCTGAAGATCTTGCGCATGCGCGGCTTCAGGGCGAAGTTCTTGGCGCCCCCGGTCACGGAAATGACCAGGTTGGGTGTTTTCAGGTGCCAGTGCTGGGTCAGCAGCTCGTAGAGGATTTCTGCGTCCGTGTCGCAGGACAGACGGATATACTATGGGGGGAGGAGCAGAAGCATCGAGATAAGCCTGTGTTCTCCTGAGGTCGGGGTTTAGCATCCGCGCCAACACCCCGCCCACGCTTGCCTGCTTCTAGAAGAGGGGCGGGGTGGGGGCAGCAGGGATCGTGGCACTGGGAGTCCCAGGCGGGGGCCATGCCAAGGACCCACGAGGAATGGAAGTGTGAAAGGAAAATAAATCTTGGGGCCCGAAAATTCAAGCTAGGAATTGCTTGGGACAAACCTGCCTCCCACTCTATTCAAAGTCACCCCTCAGCTCGCAGAGATGAATGCAGATCTCATTCCCTCCTTTGGAGAGGCTAATCAGAAACTCAGAAGAATGCAACCGTTTGTCTCTCGTCTACTTATGACCCGGAAGCCCCCTCCCGTTTCGAGTTGTCCCGCCTTTGCCTGGTGAGTTGTCCCACCTTTCCAGAAGGAACCAGCGTTCATCTTACATATGTTGATTAATTGTCTCATGTCTCCCTAAAACGTATAAAGCCAAGCTGTGCTCTGACCACCTTGGGCACGTGTTGTCGGGACCTCCTGAGGCTGTGCCAGGGGCGTGCCTCCTCAACCTTGACAAAATAAACTTTCTAAATTCACTGAGACCTGTCTTAGATATTCAGGGTTCACAGAAGGAAAGCAGAGTTGTGGGGAGAGCGGGGGCGCTGCAGGGGCCCGGAAAAGCCCCATAGGCCACGTGGAGAACTTTGGACTTTGTCCTGAAGGCAGAGGGGTACCTTGAGGCGTTTGAAGCAGAGTAAGAACAGGGTGGGCTTTGCATTTAGGGAGTCCTCCAGCAGCCCTGCTGAGGCCACGGGGAGGTGAGCAGAGCTGCGGGCAGCAAGAGAGGGCATCGGCCCATTCCGGGGCAGAGGCCCTGGGGAGAGTCAGCAGTGGATGGGGCTGAGTCATCTCCCAGGGATGCCATGGGGGTTTGGGAGATGAGAGGCCCGGGCCCTGCAGGAGCAGCCTGTGGACGGTGCTTTCATTGAGACTGGGGGCACAGAGGATGCAGGAGAGGCTGTTTCCCATCATTAAACACCTTGGCAAAACCTTGCTGGAGAGCTTGCACAGTGAGTATGGAGGGAATGCATATTCAGGGCCATATGTGCCTCAAGAGTACACAGAGCTAAACAGTAGGGTTCACAAAAGCATTCATGGGGCCCTGGGTAGCAATGGGGCTCAAGATGGGTGTGGCATGGATGCCTGCTTTGTGTGTGGACACAGGAGGCTAGGTGATAATCCAGTCCTTACCTGTTGAGTTTTCCTGTTGAGCATAGCCTAATAACTGCTGTCTGGCTTTTACAAGATGTCTCGTTTTCTGCAGTCTTTTTTGGTGTTTACTAACCATCTCTCCTGCCTCCATCTTATTAGACAATTCCAAGTAAATCAAGGTAGCCCAGGTCATTTTGGCCTATGAATTAGCTACCAAAGCAGAAAACCACTGCTTACCTTCCCTTTCTTCCCCAGTGTCTCAAACTGAATATCCCCAAAGGCGTCCGTAGGAAATTCCTTGGTGTGTTTCTTGTAGTTCCATTTCTCGCTTTGGTTGATCTGGGTGCCCTCCATGTGCTGGCTCTGGGCATAGCCACACTTGCACACATTCTCCCTGATAAGCACGGTGATGTGGACAGGAAGGAAGGATTTCATTGAGCCTGCTTATGGAAACTGGCATTGTTAACTTAAATAGACACACAAAGGATACCTTCAAGTCTTATTTTCAGACTGTTTTCATCATCTCAGTCGCTTGCATAGAAACTAGTTTGATGTGGACCAGCGCAGTGGCTCACGCCTGTAATCCCAGCACTTTGGGAAGGTGAGGTGGGCGGATCACTTGAGGTTAGGAGTTCAAGACCAGCCTGGGCAACATGGTAAATGCCCATCTCTACTAAAATACAAAAATTAGCTGGGTATATTGGCGGGCACCTGTAATCCCAGCTACTCGGGAGGCTGAGGCAGGAGAATGGCCTGAACCCAGGAGGTGGAGGTTGCAGTGAGCTGAAATCACACCACTGCACTTCAACCTGGACGACAGAGCCAGATGCCATCTCAAAGAAAGAAAGAAGGAAGGGAGGGAGGAAGGAAGGAAGGAAGCTAGTTTAATGTTTTATCCCTGTTGTTTATTGTCTCTTCACCAACAAGCTGGCTCTGTGATAGGACAGAACAGACCCCTGCCCTCATGGAATCTAGCTTCGGTCCATGGGACTTATGAGACTGAGTTTCAGAAATCTGGAAACTTTATTCAGCTTCTCAAACAGTTCATAACCCACAGGAGCCCTGAGTTGGCCTCAGCGCCTCAGCACCAACCCTGCCAGTTTGCCCAGCCAGTAAGGCTCTTCTGAAGCGAGGTGAAACATCCTTCCCATGGGCCGAACTCACCGGGAAGATGCATTCCTTTGGCAGAGACCCAAAATGTTTCAGACTCTAGAGAGATCATCCTTTCCTTATTGGACATTAGCTGCTAGAGAGACTTTCAATAATTTGGGGTAGATGAGGACAAACTGTGCGGTAAATGAACACAAGTTCTTCTCATTAAAAATGCAGTGGAACTAAATTCATCCATTAGGTGACACAGAGGCATAACAGGAAATTGGAACAGGATAAAAAGATATGCAGTCAGTGGTAAATCCTCTTGCCCTGTGCCTTTGCCAACATACCACTGTCACTCGACAGATACTGACTGAAAATCCACTCTGAGTCAGCCCTGGGCTGAGCTTCACAGTAGCCCAAGATGAGCTGGATGTCCTTCCTGCCCTTAAGTTGGTCTCTTAGGAATAGCTAAGCACGACAGCTGGCAAAGTGCAGAGGGACAAACAAAACACCTCCTTTCACTCTCGCACAGCCCCTCCCCTGTCAGGCTTGCCATGAGGGTTGGAAATGACGCAGAGTGTTTCGCTGGGCCTGGAATGTGGCACCTGCTCCCTCAAGGTGATTTAGGTTATGGTGGTGCCATACATGCAAATCAAGGATTAATGAAGGCAGTGGCAACAGAAAAGAAGCAAAAATGCAGTTAAAAAAAAAATCTAAAAATACATTCTATGACTATTTGACCTCTCTATTGAGGGCATCCTGAGAAATGTGGTCTCCAAAGACAGGAGCAACAACCACCAAGATTCCCATTTAGCCAAAAACAACTCCCGCTCAGTGAGGCACTGTTCACCCTCCTCCCAGCTTCCTTCTGCCTGCCCCACCCACTTGGTTCTGCATCTCTCCCTGCTGTCTCTCTGACCAATCTTTGGGCAAGATCCAAGGGTGCTAGGGATTCGAGGGGGCCATGGCCAATGGAGAAGGAGAACAGAGAGTTCTGTCCCGAGAAGGCCAGAGAGCAGCAAAGTGGGAGACATGTTTGGTCACTGAAACAGGCCCTAAGGGCACAGCTCTCCTTTTGTCAGTGGGTGACTCAATGCCCTGATTTGCCCAGGACAGTCCCAGTTTACACCTGTTGCCAAAGTCCTGGTAGGATCGGTGCCTCCATCACTCTTATCCACGTCCTAGACCCCACAATAAAGTCTGTGGCCACGCATTCACCACTCACCTACCAGGAAAGGCATCCCCCTCTGCAGATGTGGGTCAGTACCAGGATGCAGGGTCAGATAACAAGATTCAACCCCACTCACCCCCAGCATCCTTGTGCAGTGCACAGCCCGGGCAACCATACATGGTGACTCTGGAGCAAGGATCCCCTGCACAGGCTGAGTCAAAAATACATAAACTGAGGAAATCCTGTTAGGGTTTGCTTCCAGCTGGACTCTTTATCTTATATTCTCTGTCCCCATGTTTCTGGCACATCAGGGCATTTAGGAAATGTCCTTTGAATGAATGAAAAAATGAGTGAATAAATACATTGATTGATCTTCTTTTAAATAGTTTGTATCCTCAACGATTTTTGTAAAGTAGATATGTTTTCCTTCCAGAATACAAGCTTAAGTATAAATAACTGTTCATGGCAAGAGAAAGGCTGTATTCTCAAGGTCTTCTTCACTGTTCACCTTATTTAACATATGGCAAAATGTAGGATTAATTCTAAAAGCACTCTGTGGTGGGAGGTCACATTTTCGTTTACAAGCTGGTAATAGTGATATGCATTTCTATGACTGTTTCTAAAAACACAACAGGAGCAGAAATGAGTTGCCTTATGGGCAAATTTTATGACCACTCCAGAAGCAGATAGATTCCCAGCCAAATTGTGGCCAAGTTTCTGCTGCCTGGATGCAAGTGGCTTCAGCTGGAGCTGCTCTGCTAATAGTGATCTTCTTGAAGTACTGGAAGCCCAGGGTAACTACCAAAGCCACTCAACAAAGAGACGCTATAATGAGGAACAAATGCTTCTCAGCAGCAATCCTCACAAGGAGCTTGCTCTCCTGGGGGTTGGGGATGCTGCTGGAGATACATCAGGGCAGGTCCCTGCTAGAGATGGTGCATTGACCCAGACTCCAGTGAGACTGTCTCTTCTCTCCAACCTCGTCTACACAGTAGGATCAAGATGAGCCTGTTCATATAACTGAATTGTGGAAATGCTCATAATTGACAAGCCCAAGGATGGGAAGTTAATCCAGGATTGACATAGGCATCCCTTTCTTAAGAATTTGAAATTAGGACCAAAGGAGCTGCTCCCATCTCTCTGTGGGTCTGGGCCTGTGACGTGGAAGATCAGGCACCACAACACAATCATAGCTACTCTGAGAAAGAAGAGGACAGGGTGTGTAGGGACAGGCGGAGTCAGGAACGGACAGAGGAGACCTGCCGAGTACCCCTCATCAGTCACTCTTTCTAACCACTCCAGAGGCCTGGCCACTGTCTGATCTTAGGTGGCATTTCTTTATCCCTATAGTAAATCCCTCTTTAGGTGTAGGTAGTTGAGCTCCTTGTAACCAAAAGTCTTAATTACCACACAGTATGAAAATGATCCCTATTCAAAATATTTCTCCAGGCATTTAATATTTTCTAAAGCTATACAAATTGAGCTAGAGACTGGATCCAAAATCACCCTCCAGCAGCAAACTCGCCTCTGTGTTGGAACAGTTCCCAGGGCATCACTCAGTGTGGCCAAGAAAATGTCAACCAGGATTGAGAACGATGTTCTCAGCCCTCTCCTTTCCTAAGTGTTAGGGCACTTCCTGAGCCCAGGCTGCTTCCTCATGCTCCTCTTCTCTCTCCATGGCCTCCACTGTCCCACCATCCTTTGGGATCTGTCCACTCACCCAAGCTCATTGGAGGATGGGGGAGAGAATTCCCTGAACCACCTGTTCTTGCTATAACTGAAAACAGACTGTTGAGCCCTTTTCCCTGCTAAGGGTAGGGGTGTGTCACAGGTGACCTTGACCAAGAGAGCTGCCTGGCAGCTCTGGTCTGTGGGCTGGTAGCCCTCTAAGCACCAATTTGTATGAATTGGTTTATAAATGGAGAAGAGAGATTGCCAGGAAGGCATTGGGAGTGCAGATACCTGAAGGAGGAATAGGGATGACAGATAGGAGAAATGAAGAGGACAGGAAAGCATCAAGACCCTAGTTCTACCCCCTTGGACCAAGTCTGAATCCTGTAGTACTACACTGTCCAGTATGGTAGCCACAGACCTCACATGGCTGTTTAATTTTGTATTTAAATTAAGTGAAATTAAATAAAGTTAAAAACATTCCTTGGTTGTCCTAGCCACATTTCAAATGATCAATAGCCAAACGTGGCTAGCGGCTACTGTATTAGATGGTGCAGACATAGAATACTTTCACCATGGCAGAAAGTTCTGTTGCACAGTGCTGCTATTGTGAAGGTAGCATTCTTTCTGTTTCTACCTGGAACCCAGCATGGCCAAGGAAGTGAGAAGTGACTAGAACAAATCCAGACCTAGGAGCTTACTACCCATAGTGTGCCAGAAGGTGGCTCCTAAGCTGGCAGCACATCTCAGAGGACACAGCAGCAGGGGCAAATGTGCGGCACCATCTTGCAGTGGCATCCACAAGAAGTCAGAGTAGAGAGGCAAGGGTGCGTTGGGCTTAGCACCAGGGTGGCAACCCTGGAAACTCTCAGGAGAGACTTTGGCAGCTTATGTCATCTAGTGTGGCAAGTAACAGCAAAACCAGGGTATCAATATAATTAATCGTCACTTCACTTGATGCCCTTGTCTGATGGGTAACTTAGATTACATGGAGTGTTCTCACTACCTATGGAGAGAGAGAAATAATAAATATGGGGGATTCAAAGATTATAGAATCCTGCATCCTTGCATCCCTTCTGAGATGGGAACTGAGGTGTTCCTGTGCTCTGCTTGTGTTGCTGAGGGCTGTGGCTGCCCACCACATCTCCCTTCATTTTGACCCAGACTTGAGGTGTAATCAAGCACTGTAAGGTGGACAGCCATAGGTTTCCCTAACCTGCATCTACTTCCCCTTCTGCTAGTAAGTGCGCCCTGATTTTCCCATGAGGAATCATCCCTTTCTGCACTGGGTTCACCTGGACACATCACCCAAGGCTTGCCAATCAACATATTCCACTGTCCAACACAACTAATCCATCCTCCAGCCCTAGGGGTTAGTTTAGAGATAGGCACATGGCCCAAGCCAGACCATTAAGAGCCATGAACATCAGCCCAAGACTTTTGATGGAATTGCTAGGAGCAAGGCCCTCTTTGCTGTAAGTGGCACGTGGAAAGCTGATAATGCACAACCAACAATGACCATTTTGCCTCCAATAGTGAGGAGCCTGTCCATCAGAGAAGGACAGAAACAACAGGTGGAAAGAAACAGAGTCTTGGCAACATTGTTGAAGCCCTGGATCGGGCTGTGCTTTTCAGCCACAAGATCCCATTATCACACCCCACAGAATCCCCCCTCCAGCTTCCACTTATGCCAGTTAGATTGAACATCTGTAACTGAGAACGTGTTGAGGAATTTGTTCTGCCCAAAGCAATGTCATTCTTAGAAAGGGAGGCAACTGAGGGTATAGAAAAGGCACAGCCTTGGAATCAGAAAGCCTGGGCTCAAGTCTCTCATCCTTCTTCCACTGGACATGTGACCATGGGTAAAATACTGAACCTCTCTGGGCCTCACTTGCCTTAAAGATAATAACAGCTTCCTTGCAAGGAGATTGATAGTATTAGCAACCCAGTATGTAAGTCCCATTCATGAAACATACAGGGGATAAATAGTGGACTTACAGAGCTTATACTTTGTCGGAATGACTCATGATGCGTAAGTTTATACCAGTGACAAAGCAGAGATCTGTTAGTTTTTCTGATGTTCATTTTCTAATTCACATGGAGTAAGAATTATGCTCTGAAGTATTATGGTAGGTATTTTATATGCTGTGTCACTGAATACCACCACCACCCATGAGGTATACTTTTGCTAGCTTTTTAGGATAAGAGAATTAGCTTTAGAAAAGAGAATAATTGGCTCAAGGCCAGCCAAGTCAAGGTCGAAACCAAAACTGGTTCCAAAGCTTTTTTCTTATTTCTACATCCTTCCTCTGTTCATTGCCTCTGTTCAACAGAGGGTCTTTTCATTATAAATTACAGCAGCAACTTCCAATTAATAGCTAGACTGTTTCCTGCATTGCCAGCCAACAAAAAAAGAAGGGGCAGAGAGGAATAAGGAGAGTGGGAGGTAGGATTAAAGTTGTTTAATTAGATTCAAATGCATCTTCTGCATAAGGGGTGAGCACTAGTCGACCCATTCACTCACTTGCTCATCAACATTTATTGAAGATCTCCTGTAGGCTGAGTTGGTGAAGCCTGCTTTTGTAACCCAGCCTTAATGTTCCAAAACACATGAGACTTAGAGCAGATGAACACTCAGTTAGAAGGAAAGACCCAAAGTCAACAGCGGGGAGGAAAAGCCTGACGGAGGAGCCAGTAAGATGGACATATGTACACATACATGGTATTGCCAGCCAACTGCTGTAAAACAACTTTCCTCACCAAGGTCACTCAGGTGGGTTCCCAATCTCATGGGAAGACTGAAGAGAGTGACAGCCTCCCTCAGTGACTTTTCCCACTATTGCCAAAGTTGAAAATACCAAACAGAATTGTACAGCTCTAAGTAACAACTACAAGCTCCTTGCCAGATCCTTCCTGCCCACACAATGTTTCTGAGAATTATGAGACGAAGGCATCTTTAATAATGAACCAGTGAGCATTCGTTTGTTTGTTGTAATGGTGGTTGATAATTTTTTTGAACATGGAAAGCAAAAATGGAGGGAAAATGGTAGCTTACGTGGCCTTGGAATCTTTGGTAAAGAAGACACATTCTCGTTTCTTAAAATTTGCTTGAATAAAATTCGCCAAGTCCTTCGGAGAGAGCACATTGAATAACACATTACTAATTCATTCTCACCCCTTGCTGATATTAATGAATACCAAATATGATGTAACCCCACTTCAAGGGCTTTAAGAATTTACCACATATTCATAGCATCCAGCATTGGTTCATGCCTTTAGAATACACAAAGCTTTTTTTAAAGATGCAGACATTATAATTTTTATAACTAAATGGAAAATTTTTCTAAAAGTATTTTGGGCTTATCTTGTATATAAACAGTATTATAAATAAATATAAATCATGTTTTAAAAACATAATTAAACATAATATAAAAACATATAAACTATGTTTTTCCACCTCTAAGGCTACCATGGAGAATATAGGCATTGGATGATAGTTTTTCATAAATAATATATCAATGCAGATTCCCATTCCTCTTATGCTTGCTGTTTAAAAGAAGACATATTCCAAAAACCCTTCATAATTGTATTTATCCCTCCATGAGCGAGGTAGTTAGGCACATCTGGGACCTAATTCTGACAAAAAACCAAAAGCCTTTATAAACCAAAAGCTTCCCTTAAGTTGGCAGAAGCAAACTATTTGGAAACAAATGAAAACTCCTTTAAAAATACCTACACTCCTCAAAGTGGAAGAAGGTATTTGCATCATGTAGGAAACATCATAGGATTGGTAGCCAGAATATGTAAGCACCGTACATCAGTAAGAATGAGACAGGCAATCCAATGGAAAAAAATATGGCCAAAGACAAGAGTAAGCATTCATTGAGAGAGAATAAACCATAAACACATGAAAGGAAGCTCAACCTCATTCACAATGAGCAAATGTAAAGGAAAACCACAGTGAGATCCCATTTCACACCCACCAGGTTAGCAAAAATATCAAAGGCAATAAACACCCAGCATGGTTGAAGGGGAGGGCAGTGGGATTCATGCCCAGCATGGATGGGTAAGTAAACAGATACAGCCATTCCTGAACGTTGTCCACTATTGCCAGTAAAGTTACCTCCCTGAGGAAGAGTCCCTGGTGGAGAAAGGCAGGATTGTCCCATGAATGACTTGCACACTCAGAATGCCTGGCAAAGCTGCCTGGCAATAAATTTTCAGCCTCAGAGGGCTGCCTTTCCCTGGGGAGGTGGGGCTGCTAGGAGCTTCCTCTCCCCAGCAATCCAATGCCACTTCCCACAGCTCACCAGATTACTGGTAGCTGGAGTTCTCAGACAGCTTTACACACAGGTGGCCTCATAAGACATGCCACTGACACCAGAGCCAGCCCTGACTTCTTATCCCCCCCCCCCCCCAGCAAGGCTGCCACTAGCCATGCACTGCAAAGGGGGAAGTCCCCTCTCCTGGATGAAGTTCACAATGTGCCCCCTTCCCTTTCACCCTCTGCCCCTGCAAGTCCTATGGTATCAGAGAAAGGTGACCACGTGCCTTATCTTCCCAATCCTTTGAACATAAGTTTCCCCATAAGTCCTGTGTCTTAAACCCAGACCCCATGAAAGAGAGATGTTTACCTTCACCCACCAAGCCTCAACTCAAAGAATATTTTCCGGGTAGACATGGCTTCCACATCTAAGGATGTTAAAAGCGGTATTGCTCTTAATAGCAAAGCCCGGAAACCCACATGCTATCCCCCTTAGGCTGAATAAATAAACATAAGCACACAGTGGGGCACAGCACAGCCGGGAAATAAATCAACAATGGTTACACATCTCACCGTGGATGAATCTCAAAAACAGTTTTGAGGAAAAAAAAAAAAAAAAAGGAACTCACAAAAAAATACTCATAGTACAATTCCATAAATGTTCAAACCAGAATGAAACTAAGCAATGTATTGTTTAGAGAGATGCATATACTCAAGTCATAAAATTATAAATAAAAGCAAGGAATGGGTAACACAAAATTCAGGATAGTGGTTAAAACCTCTGATAGGAGAGAGGAAAAGCCAACTGGGCGGCCACATGGGGGCGATATGCTATTTCTCAAGTGGGTGGTGGGCACAAGAGCATTCATTTCAATATTCTTTTTAAGTTGGAAATTCACCTGTATACATTCTTTTCTATGTATCTTTCAACACAAACATTTTGAAATCAAAAATAACTTCAGTGCTCACCGGTACAGTTTTGAAAGTCTGTGATGCCCATTTTTACTTGTAATTTTCTCATCCACTTAACTAATTTCAAGTCTACTTAACAGGAAGGAAGAAAACAGCTGTGGAAGCTGTGTAATCAATGATCATGAAGGAAGGGTGATGATTTTTAAAAACTGCTTTGTTGCTTAAAAAACCCTCTGAAAATGCACTTTGCAGAGGTGTGCGTGTGCTTGGGGGCAAAGAGGAACCCCCCAGAGCTGAGATGCTCCTGCATGGCCTCAGCAGTTCTACCCATAGAGATGCCTGCATCTGGGAGGGGGTGACCTGCAGGGGCTGAGGAGAGGAGACCCATCCAGCAGGAGGTCACAGCAGCAGGCTCGAGAAAGAGTCAGCCTCTGTCCATCTCCCAGGGCTCCGATGCTGAGGCCAGGTGGATCCCTCCAGAAAGGCCCTCCCAGAGGTGCTTCGTCACTGGGGTTAAAGGAAGAGAGCAAGGGGGTAAACACTGGAAAAGCTACCACTGCCCTTGACCCACTGTTTGCTTCTCCCGTGGCCAGGACTGAGGTGAGACTGGGGAGCAAGTGTAAGGAGGTGCTCAGTCCCTGCAGGCATGCAAGTGCAGGGGCAGCCCCTGAGGACTGGCACCTCCTTAACTTTTGCATCAGGGGTGCCTCACTTGCCTAGTCCAGGCCCTGGGAGGCAGACCCAAGCTGGGGGAGAGCAGGTTTTTGTGTGTGTGTTTGTGTGTGTTTTCTTACACCTCAATGATAGATCACAAAGTCAGCCCCCATGAAACCCAGCAGTGAGATCAAAATCCTAAACAACACCCCAGAACTGCCCCCCACCACCAATTCCTACTTTCCAAAGCTAGGCACTATCCTGACTTTTTAACACTGTAGTCCAGGAGAACTGGATGTCAGGCTGGAATGTTGTCTTAATTTCTTGACAAATGAGAGTGTTGGACAGGATCTGAGAGCGGGTGGAAAACCTGCAGGAGGGAACTCAGCCCAGTGTCAGCAAAGCCAGGCACAGAGTGGCAGAGAGGTGCTAAGGACACACCTCCCGCTGGCACCCAACCCAACTCCAGCTCACCCAAGAAGCCACGACTGGGCACGTCTGTGTCCTGAAGGCAGCGTAGAAGCTGGCTTGGAACCAGGAGAGACGGTACGAAGGAGTGCAGCTAGGAGGCCATTGCAAGAACAAATGCAGATGGACCCAAACTGAGACCCTGGCCATAGAGCTGGAGAAGGGACTGAGATTCAAGACCCAGACCAGAACCAAGAGCACTGAGCATTAAGTAGTGAAAGGGATTGTGAAGACATGGCATTTAAAATTTCCTAAAAGTCAACGTGCAAATGTGTGATTTAACGCCTTATGAAGGTTACAGCAAAACCTTTCAAACAGGTGATGCGCATGACTTACGCTTTCACTGTAAGACAAGTCTGTGCTCCGAGACGCGCTGGAGTACAGGGTCCGGGTGCTGTCCAGAGTGCCGTTCCTTCTGTTCCTCATGCTGAGCTTGGCTCCCCCAAAGGACATCTTTTCTGTGGCGATGGGTGGAGGGGATAAGTTTGGGTTACAAACAGTAAAAGGGCTTCCTTCAAAGTTTCACCCCAATACCTCTTTCCCTCCACCCTCTCCCCTTTGCCACATGCAATGTCCCACACTCCATTCAGCCCATCACAGTAATTGTGCCCCTGCCCCTAATTCCTCTTCACCCTCCAAGACCCAGATAGTGTTTCCACCCCTCAGCCCATTCTCCCTGGACCCTCACCCCTGAGTCAGGATCCCTTCCTGGGCGCCCCCTCTTTGCAGTGGCCGAGTGCATGGCCCCACCAGACTACAAGCTCTGAAATGGCAGTCTGTACCACATGCATCACAGTGCACTACATCTGAGGGGCTTGCAATAACTACTTGTTAAGTAATAAATTGAGAATGAGGGGAATCTACAGAGCAGTCTATGGCTAGCAGCCTGTATTGGCCAGAGGACTTGGACCTCAGGCAGAAGAGAAGACCCCTGCCCCTGAACTGAAGGGTGGTGGGTAGGGCTTGGGGGTCAGCATGCCCCAGGTCATCCTGAAACTCTAATGCCCAAGACTTCCCTCTTGGGCTCTGGAGCAGGCTGCGAACCTGGGCATTGCAAAACCTGATCTGTCATGCAATGCTTCCTCGGGTCCCCGCTCTGTTTTTCTCACTCTAAGATGCCCCCATCCCATATTTCAGGAGGCCCCTCTCTCCTCGTCTCCCAAACTCTAACTCAGACCCATATCCCAAGCTCGAGACAGAACCCGTCAATACCTACTCAACCTCTAGGGTTGTCCTGCAGACACAGTAAATGAAAACACCATCCTGCACGCCGTGTCTCCCTGAGTCCCCTCCTCCTGGCTCCAAGCTCCTCCCTGTCTGTCCCACCACATCCCAGTGGCAGTCCTTCCTCCTCACCCCTTCCAAGGCTCTCGCGTTGTCTCTGCACTTGGCAAGGGGTCCTGCTGGTCTCCAGCTCTCCGGCCCGGCTGTGCCCACCTCCCTCTCTCTCTGGGCCTGCCTTTCCTATCTGGGGTCCCACACCCTGTCCAGAGCCCTCTTCCCCATACCCCTCCAGCTGTCATCTCCTGCTCATCCTCTAGGCTCAGCTCACTCATCACTTCTTCAGGGAGATGCCCCACAACACCCAGGCTGGGCAAGCGTTCACCTGCCTCTGTAGCCCCTTCAACCTGCACCAAGCTGCGGGCATCATGATTTGTTCAATGGTCTGTTTGACCCCTGTTAACTTGCTGAGGCCAAGGACTGTATCTTGTTCACCACTAGACTTCCAGGGCCTGGCACAGTGCATAAAGGAGATCTGCATGAATATTTATTGGACGAATAATTTGATTGAATCGATACCCCCTCGCAAATCCTCCTTCGGTTTGCAAACTACTTCCACATCACCTTCTATAACTCCCAAATGCAGAAATGTCTAAGACACAGGGCAGACCCACCACTCAGCCACACTCCGCTCTCAGACCCTCAGCCCAGCGACCATGACTCCTCCGTCCAGATCGCCCATCCCAGGCCAGCCACAGGCCTCCCACGCCACAGAGACTGTCACTGCTTTAAAACGCACTCCGAATGGTTGGTCTAGACTGTTTAAAACAACAAGCGCTTCTTTTACTTCTCTCCCCAGGCATTTCAAAGAGAAGCTGAGAGTATTAATTGGCACTTTACATACATTATTGCAAAACCACAAATCAATCCTGCAAGGTATTCACTATTATTCCCTTACAGCAAATTGCTTCTAAGTAGGGCACCAATGCTTAGGAAGTGACTGCATTTGCCTTGAAATGAAAAACTGTTTATTTCATTGCACCAGAAAAGGGGTATTTTTGCCTTCAAATCACATTTCTATCAAACAAAACATTGGGAAGTCATTTAACAGATGCAACAAATAGCCCTCCTCTGACATTCCGGATGCCTTTCTCAGCAGCTGGTAGTCTCAGCTGGTTCTCTGAGACCAGCTGATATTCAAGTTGGTTGACTCTGGGTCTTGGCATACAGTCTTAGAAAACAGCTATCCCAGGACTGCAAGTTTGTTGATCTTCTAGACACATTCTGGCAGGACTTCAGTCTCGGAAGTGGAAGAAGCATTGGAAGAAGGAACCTAAGGCCTGAGGCCCAAGAGAAGCAATATGGGAAGAGAGCGCCTGGGGCCCTGGAGAGTGAGGGAAGGGGTCTGCTGAAAAGGAGATGCCCCTGAAAAAGAGTGAACGGGAAAGGCAGGCGGAGAAAGCCGATCCCTTGGTGCATCACGTGCCAGGGAGAAGTAACAAAATCACACTGCCAGATCCAGTGATCCAAAATTCCCTGGAAAAAAAATGGGCAAAGGGCTGGGATGTCCATGCCCAGCATGAGTCCTTCTGCTCCTGACTCGCCCACCTTGGACTTTTTGGTCAGTGTCAGGAGAAGGTCCCTGGGGATGATCTGAGCACAGCAAAGCCTAGGAGGAACCCGTGAGAAGCTTTTCATCCACGGGGATGTCTTTTTATTTCATTCAACACTTTTCCCCCCAACACCATAAAAAGAGTTCTGTTTTTATTAGAGTTTTGACCTGATAAAGAAAATCCTGATGGCAGCCTCCCTGCTCTTCTTTCTGCCCGGCATGTTCCCCTGATTCTGAAGTCCTGGTATTTTACTGATTCTAACCAGATACTGGTCCAGAATTTTTACATTGATCATAAGCTCTCTTTACATGCATACTCAATTTTGGCTGTTTTTGTTTTTTTCCAGCTCTGGACAGTTTGTTGTTGTCATTGTTTTATTGTTTTCTGGCTACAGCCTCCACAGGCAGGAGAGAGAGTGAGGTGCTTCCCCAGGCACGATGGAAGCTGAGACTAGAAGTCTCAAGACCCACCAGTGAAATACTTAATTGACAGTCATCCTTATTTCTAATGAAATTGGCACCCTAATCAGGTGTGGCAAAGACTGGCAGCATCGTGTGACCCAATGTCAAACCAGAGAATGTGCTCAAGATGTGCAGTGGATGCCGACCCATGGAGCCCCGCGTGGTAACCTGGTGCCAGCAGCATTGGGTAGGCAGAGCATTGGCAGCAGGGGACATGGCAGCAGGGGACGTGGGGCTGTGTTTCTCCACTTTAACCCACCCCACCAAGGAAGGAAAACCCCTTGGTACAGCTGCACCAAACCTGGCTGTGGCCATTGCTAGAGGAGCCATGGAGAACACTGGAGATTCATCATGTCAGTAACAGGCCTTTCAGAAGAAGAGAATGTTCTACTTACAAGAGACACAGTCATCAAAAAATCAACAGAATAAATCTTCCCTGAGATAAAGAAAGATGTGAGTCTTCACAATAAGAATCTCACTGGGTCCGCTACCAAGCAAAAGTAACAGGGCCGGAGGTATCCAGATGAAATCATTTAAGTATAAGAATAAACATAAAAACGGCCAGGCATGGTGGCTCACGCCTGCAATCCCAGCACTTTGGGAGGCCAAGGCAGGTGGATCACGAGGTCAGGAGATCGAGACCATCCTGGCTAACACAGTGAAACCCTGTCTCTACTAAAACACACACACACACACACACACACACAATTAGCCAGGCGTGGTGGTGGGCGCCTGTAGTCCCAGCTACTCGGGAGGCTGAGGCAGGAGAATGGCGTAAACCTGGGAGGCGGAGCTTGAAGTGAGCCGAAATCGCACCACTACACTCCTGCCTGGGCGACACAGCGAGACTCCGTCTCAAAAAAACAGAATAAACATAAAAACATACAAGCAATATAGCAGAAAAAAATTACTAAAGGAGAAAACCAAGCTGGTATAAAACTTCTCTTCTTCAATACTATGAACTAGAAGAAAATGGAACAGTGTTTATATTTTTTTAAGAGGGAAAAGCTTGTGATCTAGGAATCGTATCCTGAGCCAATTCAGCTGTGAGTGCAGTAGAAAGACACACTCAGGAATGGGGAACAAGGAAGGCAAACACTCACATAACTTTAGGCAGTTCAGGAAAGGGAGACAGAGAAGCTGAAGGGAAAATATCAGATATAAATAATAAGTAGAGATGACGTGGTAGAGGTTCGTTTTCAGTGTAAATGCTTATATTTTATCTCAGTGCACAAAGAATTAAAGAAACTTACTAAAATATTACATAAAACAAAGGAACCAAAGAGAAATAAGTGAGCTAAGGATAAAATAAGAGAAAGAGACTGGTTAAGTGAGGGGTTTATCCAGCCACAGGGGAAGCCTGTTCCGAGGTCCTCAGGGGGCACTAGAAATCATGCCCTAAACTTACTAATGGCCAAAGCAAAGGGATTGTAAAAAGAAAATACAATTTTAGGACCTTCCAGGTTGATTATGCCAAGGGGGAAAGTGAAGCTCTGAAAACAGAGTCACATAACATGGCTATTTTTGCACAACCCTTTCTGACTGACCTTTGCAAGGGTTGTGCAAAACCAAATGATGTTATTCCTTAACCAGATTCCCTGTCCTTCATTTTAACCTAGACTTACTGATGTTGGAGACAGAGACCCTTGCGAATGTAACCTCTTTACAATGGACTGTTAAGCAACCCCCTTACAGTATAAACAATAGTAGTCAATCAAATCTTACATCTGTACAGCAGACTTCATACAGAAAATGTGTTTCTGGCTGGGCATGGTGGCTCACGCCTGTAATCCTAACACTTTGGGAGGCCAAGGCTGGTGGATCACTTGAGGTCAAGAGTTCGAGACCAGCCTGTCCAACATGGTGAAACCGCATCTCTACTAAAAATACAAAACTATTAGCCGGTGTGGTGGCAGGCACCTGTAATCCCAGCTACTCAGGAGGCTGAGGCACGAGAATCCCTTGAACCTGGGAGGTTGCAGTGATCTGAGATCATGCCCCTGCACTCCAGCCTGGGTGACAGAGTGAGACTCCATCTCAAAGAAAAAAAGAAAAAGAAAAAAAGAAAAAAGAAAATGTGTTTCTGTTCAGCACCCCTGGTTTTGCCTGTATAAATGATCCTCCCTTTTCCCCATCCCAGGAGCAGTGATTACCATCCTTTGCTGTCATTCTGCTATCTGGATGGCTGCCCTCATCTTTGCACTTGAATAAACCTTTTAAATTGGATCCCGAGCCTTTTGATTATTTTAGGTTGACAGGATGAACACAGTCAGTTACAAGCTTCATGGCATCCATGAACTAACTTCAAACCCACATTCCCTGATACAGAGACCAGGGTGAAAAAAACTCCTGCATTTGGAGACAAGTAGGCTGGGGAGGATGGGGCGACTGTAAAGGGGCAGGGTGAAGGGGCTTTTCCAGTGATGGAACAGTTCTGAAATTTGGTTGTGGCAGTGGTTACGCAAATCTACTCATGTGATAAAATTGCATTAAACTATACACACATGAATGAATGCATGTCCAAGTGGTGAAATCTGGGTCCGGGCGTGTTAGTTCATGCCTGTAATCCAAGCACTTTGGGAGGCCAAGGCAGGTGGATCACCCGAGGTCAGGAGTTCGAGACCAGCCTGGCCAACGTGGTGAAACCCCATCTCTACTAAAAAAAATAACAAAAAATTAGCCAGGTGTGGTGGTGGGCACCTGTAATCCCAGTTGCTCAGGAGGCTGAGGCAGGAGAATCACTTGAATCCAGGAGGCGGAGGTTACAGTGAGCCAAGATCACACCATTGTACTCCAGCCTGGGCGACAAGAACTAGACTCCATTTCAAAACAAAAAAGGTGAAATCTGATAAAGCCTTTGCCTTGTGCCAATGCCAGTTCTCTGGTATCAATCTTGTATGATAGTTATGTGAGATGTCACCACTGAGGGGAACTGGGTGAAGAGTACACAGACCCTCTCTACACTTTTTCCTCTTCCACTTCCTGTGAAACTATAATTATCTCAAAATAATAAGTTAAAAGAAAAATGTCTATGCCAGAAGGACACTGGGCCACATAGTGGTAAATATCCCTGCACAGCCATGCAATACTTAAGGCACTAAACTTAGCCTGGTTGTTTCTTAGAATGTCCTAAATGCAAGTTGAAGCTATGCCATTAAAGCACAATTCAATGGAGTTATCTCCATGGCAGGCCCAAAGGATGGGACCTTCATAGAGAACTAAGGATTTGTCCAGTTCTAGGATTTACTTGTTTAACTATGTAAAGCTTTGCTTTCGTGTCCTTAATCAATAATCTCAATTATTTCTATTGATGGTCTTTACTCTTAAAAATTTCAAATAGGCCTGATGAATTTAATGGACTCTTAGTGACCACCATAGAGATAACCTCAGTAAAAATTAAAATCAAAATGGACTCTTGAAATACCGTTCACATTTTTTCAAAACTTCGCAATAGACCTACCATACCTATCAGGAGAGACAGCACTTACAAACTAAGGACCAACAGTTCCTACAGTTTCTCACACAGGAAACTATACATCACCCTGCAGCCTGACTCACTGGACTCATTAAAACCCAGAGTGCTGGGCCCCACCTCAGAGCGTGAGATGTCTGGAGTGAGCCCCAGATTCTGTATCTCTAGCAAAGTTCCCAGGTGCTGATGAGGTGGCCTCAGGACCACATTTAGAGGACCACCGGGCCACAGATCACACCAAGGACCCCCTTGTTCTTAAACTACAATAAAATGTTTCCAGAGCGTGTAATCAAATCTTTTCAAAACACATGCATGTAATTGATGGGATGTTCAAGAGGTGATATCATGTCAATTTTGGCTTTGTGTTCTTGTGTAGTCACAACTTGAACGTCTGAACATTACAATTTGTCCTGCTTGCACATACATACATCTCCATCAGACCAGGAACACCATCCAAATGTCAGTAATAAATAACTGCTATGTATTGTGTCATGTCTATTATATGCCAGGCACTGTACTTGTAATAAAATAATAATCTATGTAACTCATGGGAAGATGGATCCATGTATATCATGTGTTTCTGATGATCCATGTAAATGATCATGTAAATGATCCATGTAAATGATCCATGAGTTACATAGATTATTATTTTCTCCTTTAGATGGATGACAAACCAAGGCACAGAGAGGTTAGGAATCTTTCCCAAAGTCACACAGCTGATAAGTAGAGGATGCAGAATTCAAAATCAAGCAAGCTGGCCTGAGAGCCCAATCTTAAACATTAAGCTAATTTGTGCCACTTTAATACAGCTTTGGGAAGAAATAGATGGTCATCTTAACAACGTGAGCACACTGCCAAAATTTAAACAAAGGATTACAAACCTCATTTTGTTTGTTGAGGGGAGAGGTTGGCCATAGTACTGTTTTTATTATCAATGGTCATGAATAATTTTAAATAGTCTAGAAGTCACCCATGAACAACAGAATATTCATGCATCCTTTGAACTCAATGCAAAAAAAAAAAATAGTGTGCTATCTTATTATCCTAAGAAAAAAAGGCTTCTGGCGTGTTTTATAAGTTGCTTTTTAGCCCACCTATCACCATGGTCACATCAGTCCTAAAGTGTCATTTTCAAGCAGGATTGTCTAGTTCTAAGTCTCTTTCTGATTAAATTGGGGTGGGGGAAGAAACAAGATGTTCTCCTTTGCACACTGAATGAGAGAGGAAAAACTTGTTCATGCTCTAAGGAAAATGCTCCAAAGGGCCCCACACCAAACCCCAGCCATCTCCACTCTTTGAGCCATCAATTATTCATGAAATGGTGAGTATAACACTTGCAGAGGCTTCAAATGTAAATGACACCATCCAGAGAGATCTCCTCCACTCTTATTTTGGCAGGGGCATGGCAGTGGTGCATACAAGGGTTCCAATAACCTGAAAGGGTCACTAGGCACCTGTGCCTCCACGTCTCAGCCACCACCAGGAGAGAGTTAAGATTTATTTTGTTATAGGCATTATCCTGTTTTTCTAATTGCCTCTATCTGCCAAAGTTTTTTTAAGTTTGAATAGATGGATGAAAACTAGGAAAATAGCAAAAGCCATTGGAGGTTCCCAAAGTCATTGACCCCAAGGTATCCTGCTCCAAAAAGTAGAAGTGAGAAACAGGAGGTAGATACAAGCAGCAGGTGATGCTCCAAGATGCTACCACTGAGAGCCTTTTAGAATAAGAGGAAAGGCGGGGACCCTATGGAGCCTGGACCCCTACTGTCTTCGCAGATGCCAAGAATGATATCAGTTTTTAGGCAAGACAAAGATAATAATTATTATTATTATAAATTGTAATGTAATTATATTATTTATATAACAATTATATTACTTGTAATATAATTATAAATATATTCATAATAATAATAAACAGCTTTTTTCCAAATTATAAAGAAATATGCATCCAAAGTCACAACCTTGGAAGTAAGTCCCTTGCACTGTCGAGATTTTGACAAGCTAAAACTTCTATCATGATAAGTATATTTGTGTAGCACATATAGAATAGACTTAAGGAATAACCACTTCCTTATGTTCAGCTCAAGAATCCTAACACTGAAAAAGTCAGCACTGGCAATAGTGGGCTGAAAATTAAATGGAAATAAAATCTTTAATTATTCATGCAGCCCTTCCGTGTTTCTCTCTTGCCTCTAAATAATACAAATGATGAGCATGTTTCAACGGGCTGGAAGAACGGAAGGAAACACTGTATGTACAAACAAGCCAAATATACCCTCTCCTATCATTATCAAAGAATATTTACTCTTTGAATGCATTATCTCCTGATGTTAATTTACATTTCACCATAGTCTTGATTCAAGAAAAACTTGTTTTATTATGTTCCCAATAGGATTGCTTCAGATAGTCTGTTGCAGAGTTCAGATGCCAGTGAATGTTTCATTAAAGCTCATTTAGGGAGTTTCTAACTCTTTCAATCAGAAAAAGAAAATTGTAACTCTATTTAAAGTCATTCAAAAATCCGGCAAAGATTTCCACATTTCTAAATAAATCTGAGTGAGGATTAGATATATCTGTGAACCAGCATTTTGCTTATGCCCACAACTCTTTGAGGAATTTAAATTTTTGTCTTCCTTTAGTTTCAAATCTTCATAGAAAACCTAAATGATGCCCCTCCCAGAGACACAAACTCATACTATTCTACAAGTTACAGCAATGGCAACATTTAAGGAGAAGCAAAAAGCAAATGTTGATGACATACCGTAAGTGATGGTTTTTATCAAGCAGGATTTTCTTTCACCCAAGGATCCTGCTGGTCTCTCCACACAGGGGGAGGAAAGCTTTTATAACTGGAATCTTCTTAGCCCCGCCTTCTTCTCTGAGGTTCTTTTAAGCAGAGGAACAAAAAACTTAAGCCACTGAAATTGCAAGAAGACTCCTAAAGCCTCCGCGCACAGTAGCAATTTAGCAATGGAATACGAGTAGGGAATGGATAATTAGCGAACATGATATTTTAAATGCTAACAAAGAAATGATACCAAATTCCCAATCTTAGCTTGACAATAACACCATAGTATGAAATCATTCTAATATTTAATTTCTGCCATTAATGGCACATTTAAAAACCGCAAATAAAATGGGAAATGCTTATTATAGAAAGTGATGAAAAGATTAATAAATTAAAAGCTCTTAATTAAGATTAGGAAAAAAGTTATTAGAGGAAATTTAACCAACATTGCTTTTTCGCAGATTTTGTGAACTTTCCTCATACCAACTAAATGCAGTATTGAGCCAGGCAAGAGGGCATCACAGAGGTGAGCAAATCTAACTTTATTAATTTACAGCTATTTCCTGTCCCCTTGAAATTATACTTTGGAAGAACTCTCCTAGAAGAAATAAGTAACAATTGTCAGTGGGCAACTTTTGGTCATTTTACTTAAATCATGTGCCACAAACATAAGAGTTATATTATAACTAATGTTCCTTTGTGTTGGACATTGTTTCTATTATGTTATTTTCGTATGAAGCATATGTCATAGAGAAATACAAATAGGATAGTGTATTTTAGGAACTGACTGCACAAGACATACACTTGCAAAAAGGTTAGAGATGAAAGAGGAGGAGCGTGAAGGGGATTTTTACAAAGGCAGAGAGATTTGAGCAAGGTCTGAAAGGAAGGATAGAGTTGTAGTGATAACTCCCGCAGAAAGCATGTTCAATTCACGAAGAAAACCCCCGCGACAAAGAGACAAAAGACTTCAGACAGAGGTCTCAAACTCAAATATTCCAAGCCTCAGACAGGTCATAAAGATGAAGGGAGCAGTCAAGTGTAAGGTGGTAGGGAAGGGTGGGGGCTGTGCAAAACTGGAAATGATAGATTTGAATGAGGACCCGTGTAAGAAAAGATCCGGCCAGAAATGGAGAGAGAGAATCAGAGAAATCTCAGAATTACTCTAAATGTGGATCCCAGGACTAAAAACTACCATACCCAGCATGGTCCCCAAGCACAGCTATAGCACTGCACAGGGGAGCAGGTCGATCTGAGGAGCGGAGCAGCAAAATGAACTTTTTAGCTGTTAGAAATATTGAGCAAGCTGGGCACAGTGGCTCATGCCTGTAATCCCAGCACTTTAGGAGGCTGAGGCGGGCCGATTGCTTGATGTCAGGGATTCAAAACCAGCCTGGGCAACATGGCAAAACCCTGTCTCTACTAAAATTACAAAAATTAGCCAGGTGTGGTGGCATGTGCCTGTAATCCCAGCTACTCTGGAGGCTGAGACATGAGAATCTCTTGAACCTGGGAGGTGGAGGTTGCAGTGAGCCGAGATCATGCCACTGCACTCCACCAACCTGGGTGACAGAGTGAGATTCTGTCTCAACAAAGAGAGAGAGAGAGAAAGAGAGAGAGAGAGAGAGAGAGAGAAATATTGAGCCAATTAATTAAGCTCATGTGGACTTCTCTCATTCATTTTCTGGTTATTAAGCAAATATTTTGTTCTATCTCAATTTTTATTCCAAATCCAAACTTGTTTTATCCACAACAGATAATGTATGATCTGGCCTGAACAAGTTGTATTCAAGTATCTTTAGCAAGTCCTTAAAATCATACGTGAATGGATCCTTGCTGTGAGTAAGCATCCTCATGAAACAGGAGCGAGAGAGATGGAGATAGAGAGATATAAGTAGAGGTGTACGTATATAATGTACAGATTTGCCGTTTCATCCAAGACGCCACAAAATGCCCAATTCCTCTAGCAAGGTAGAAATTGTTTTGGTTTTTTCTTGAAGTTTTTTTTTTTTAAGACGCCGGATTGTTGCACTATCTTTTAATGCCAGAAGGTGGCTGCCCTGAGCAACCTCGGTCACACAAAGCCATTTCCAGCCACTTACCTTCTCAAAGCAGGTTTCAAAGGTGAATTAACGGCATTGTCCTTGCTCATCCCTGAACACCTTCCTTCCCCACTAAGATGAGCAGAGCCATTCTGCATACTTCCAGCTAAATGTGTAGACTCAGACTCTCAGCTCGGCTTCCCTATTTTTTGTGCCATGAGAAAACGTTGAAACGGAACAAACTGTAGATGGACGATGACGATGGTTACAGAGCAGTGTGAATGCATTGTTGCCACTGACGCTGCACTTGCAAATGGTTAAGACAGCAAATTTTACGTTATGTGTATTTCATCACCATTAAAAACAATTTTAAAAAATATTCAGTGAAATCGGCTCTGGATTTGAACACGGTCCCTGACACTTGGCTACTTATGGGACCTTGAGCAAACTCCTCACCCAAGAGCCCAGCTCAGTAAAGTGGGACCCTATCACCCGTTTGGATTTTATGGGGGGAATCCTGAAGGACCAGCCATGCTGGATGTACCAACCCAATTAGAATCCTTCTTCCCTCCAATACCTTTAGTCGCTTCCAATTCAGGTCCACGAATTTGGGGTTTCGCTTTGCAGAGGATGGAAGCGGGAAGCGGGTCTTTCTTGCTGCTGCCAGCCCTGCAATGAGAGTGAGGTGCCTGCCTCCCCTGCCGATGGTGAGCCTCCACCATATGTTCCCAATAGTGTTTTCCAGTGTGTGGCTTTTGCCCACCTGCACCAGCATTTCCGGGAGCACAGGCTGGAAATGAAGCTCCAGGGCCCACCCTAGACCGTTGAACTAGGATCTCTTGGTGGGTCTGAAGAACATGGCAATTCTCCAGTTGAGAAGAAGTGCTGTTAGAAGAAATGCTGTCACCCAACAGGAACAAGGTAAAAACACAGCCTGCTGGGTGGGGGTGAATGTGCTGTGCTGGGATCGAAGGAGAACAGGCAGGAACTTGGCAAAGACACAGAGAAGTGGTCACACCACCGGGGGGAGGCTCTTGGATTTCATCTCCAAGGCTCATTGCCTGGTGTTGTCTACACAAGGAGGGCGAGAAGGAAAAAAATAAAAGGTCAATACAAGCAATTTTGCCCAGAGCTTGGGCTCCTTCTGCACCATACTGGCTCTGAGCTACTGAGATCCCTTGGGTTACAGGAGAGCTTTCCTAGCAACTTGTGTCCTCAAAGAATCCCTCTAAAAAGCAGTGAATTGCCTGTTCACATCCAGAGAATGGGCAACCCCAGGGCCCAGTAGCCCCCATGCCTCCAGCCACACAGCTTGGGGCCACACAGCTCCTTCAGACTCTGGTCTCTCTGTGTCTCTTCTGGCCTCAAGCAAGAAGTTCTTTCTCCAGTCCTGAGTTCAAGGTTCAATGGCCAGATGGCCATTGGCCTCAGGTTGGATTGTCCTTGGCCCTTTATTTAAGCTTCACATCTTCCCAGATCCCCTGTGGGTGACCTCACGAGGCATCTATCGAGCTCCATGCCTCTTTAGAGATTAAGTTTGTATTGAATAAATTGGGAATGTGAAAATATCAGTACCAGCCCCAGGGAACTATCCTTCTACCAATGCTATAAACTTAAAGAACTGTCCATGAGCCTGAGTAATAAAACGTGACATTTTAATGGGTATATGAAGGGGACAGATGCTTTTATTCTATTATAATGGCTGTAATTTTAATGAGTTTTTCACAATTTGCTTTATTCAAGTGAGGGTTTTTATAAGATTGTCCCAATTCTTATTCTCTTGTTCGATCTCAACCAACGTGATTTACTCTTTTCTAACTATAAATGAATCCTACTATTGTATTTACATAAATGTCTTTATCATCATTGTTCTTTCTTTTTAACCTGATATAGTTGCCATTCTGAACTCTATCTTAAAGGAATTATTTTCATCCTTTCATTAAATGTGAAAGAAAGCTGATTTTCTTTTGCCCACTGCCATCTTTCTCCAAGGAAGAGAATGGAACATGAATGGGGCCTTGCAGTAATAACCACAGATCTCAGTTTCTATTCTGACATGATTAGTTACTGTAGGAAAAACACCTCTTTTCTCAGTTATCCAGAAGACATTCAGGGGAATACCATTTTTGTACTTAAGCATATTAAGGAAACTGCACAGAACAGACTCAATTGTGGTGAATGTTAAGGTGCATATCCCAATGGCCTCACTATATAAGAATTAACATCTTGCTCAAAGGATTAAGCAATTGGCATCTTAGTGGGTCACTGACGGAACCAGGGCAGAGTTTTGGCTCTCTCTGATGTGTTGTATAATGTAAGTTACCAAGCCCTACATTGATGAGTCTTTCTGATGTCACAGCTTTTGTGACACTGCTTCAGGCACGGTACTACAGTAGTGAACATGGCAGATCACACCCCTTCCCCAGGGAGCCCACATCCCAGACAGGGGGACAGAAAAACAGCAAACAAAAATGCCAGTAGTGCCAAGTAATATAAAAAATAAAACAGGGGAAAGGAATAGACAGCGGCAGGATGGGTTTTTTTTCAGATCTACGGTCCAAAGAAGTCTTTCTGCAGAGGTAAGAACTGAGCAGGGACCTGAGTGAAACAAGAGAGCCAGAAAAGAGGGGACCTGGTGGGGAGCAAATGCAGCCCAGGCAGACAGGAGAAGCGAAAGTCTGGAGTGAGCTTGCCAGGACTGAGTGAAGGCGGTAGAGAGAGGAAAGAATGAGTGGGAAAATAGCCAGGAGTCAGATTATATGGGACTTTGTAGGCCCTTATAAAGGTTTTTATTCTGCATATCGTGGGGAGCCTCCCGGAGTTTTAAGCAAGGAAAGGAGTGATTTTGTGAGTCTTTGAAACCATCCTTCTGGCTGCAGCACACACAAGTGACTGGGAGGTGACCGGGGGACTGGTGGGGTTCTGTGTTGCCCGGTGGTCCAGGCTAGAGATGAGCGTGGCTTGGACTTCCTAGGGTGGGGCCATGGAGGTGATGAAATGTCCTCAGATTTAGGGTGGTTGTGATGGTAGAGTCAGCACAATGGCTGATGAGTTGGAGAAGGACACGTGGATGACTCATGGGGGATGGTATGTCACTCAGGCAGGAGGCCTAGAGGAGAGCAGCAAGAAGAGCAGAGCTGAGTCAAGACACCCAGGGGACAAAGCAGGAGCTTTCGACTCTTTCATGGTCGTGAGGAGCTTTCCTCAGTCATCCCAGGTGCAAGGGGCCACGTGAAGCTTTTCAGCGAACTTTCTATCAGGTATCCAAGTTGCTTCGCATGCAAGAACCCACACTAGAACTTGGAACAAGAATAAACAGTAGGTGATACAGGCAGAAATAGAGATGGAGACAGAAATGGAGTCAGAGACAGAGATGGAGATGAGAATGGAGGTGGAGATGGAGTTGGGGATGGAGAGAGAGAATAGAGATGTCAATTAACAAAGACCAAGAATAACACAGACTCCGAGACCAAAGGATTTGATGTCCACCTACATAAATGTAAACAATGACAATTTGCCTCATACCTTTATACTAAATCTTTCAGCGTAAAGCAGAATGCCATAGTCATTAAGTGTTCTGTCTCAGGAGGCACATCAGCCTGTATTAAAGCCCAGGTTCCAGGGCAACCTTGGGCAAGTTTCCTGACCTCTATAAGCCTAGTGTCTTCACCTCTGACAATAACACTGCCTGCAGATATCTGTAAAGCACAGGCCTCCTAAAGAGTAAAGAATCAGTAAATGTGAACCACTGCTGAGACAGAAGTCAACTCCTTATACAAGACCGTGTTCTAATAGCAATGTGTTAACATCTCTCAACTGTCAGACAAGTTCCTTGACTCAAGCTTGTCAATGATGTCGATGAGCAAGGAATTAGAAAGAGGAGATGAAAGGTAAAGTAGATAATTTCAAAGAGGCTCAGAGGAAACTGCATTTAAATATCTGCATTCAAATACTACTAGACAAAGCAAACGAGGTGAGGGGAACTGGGCTTTTGGGGAAATATTTTTGCCCTGACTGCAGCCCAACGGTGCTTCAGCTTTTGAGTGTGGGAGAAAATGAAACTACTTTGTATATTAAAAATTCACATAGTTGTCCATTTGGCCTATATGACCTTGGCCTACATGACCTCTATCCCAGTTTAGAGCTCCTGGCAGTAAGAACCTATTTCTTCCCTTTTATCTGAATTACCGAAACTTTGCTTGAGAAAACAAAATAAGTTCTGAGTGATTTCTGACCACTTTTATGTGGTAATGGCATGGGAAGAAAAACACATTCCAGGCCCACTTGGGTTAGCAGAGCTGCTCCATCTTCCTTCCAATCTGGGGGATGATAAACCCATCCCAACACAGGGAAGATGCCGAATGTTACTTAAAAGCATGAAGGCTATGAGCGGTGAGGTGTAATGGAAAAGGGAACATGAAAAGCAATGAACAATTAGGATTATTAGAAATATTACCATCCCGCAGAGTGGTCTCTGAGTGGAGATGGGTTCAAATGTCAGAGACAAAAATAGCCAAGCAGCCCCAGATAATTGAATATTTGCCCCCAAAGTAACCTGACGGGAAAGATATTTTCCAAGGGGCGAATGGGCTCCACAGAGCGCTGGCCCCTGGGAACCCTGTCCGGTATCAGCTGGCTGCCAGCCTCTGGACTGGGGACTACAAATTCAGACATGATTAAGGCAAAACTCCACATGCAAGGAATTCAGTCTTGTAAAAATTGAGACTGTTAGCTAAGGAAGAAACAGGTACCTATTAGGAGGTTCGAGTCTGTTTTGATGTGGTATCCAACAAGCAAGGATCTGTTCAGCTTTTGCCCCTTATATCCATACTGTAATAGTGATATCTGAAGCAGGAAGGTGTTCGACAATTTTCCCAATAAAGAATTTCTATTTTTAACGTTTCTCCAATCGCAAACACTCTCTCCATTTATGTGCATGGGTGCACACTCCCCCATGACATTAGCTAACATTTGTTGAGTACCTGGTATATGTCAGCACATTTCTAAGTGTTTTACCTGTACTGACTCACTGAAGCTTCCAAGAAACCTGTGAGTTGGTGCTACCGGTATCATCATCCCCATTTTACAACTGAGGCATAAACAGATTAAGTAATTTACCCATGGTCACATAACCAGCGAGTGGTGGAGACAGGCTGGAAGTCCAGACCATCTGGTTCCAGGGTCTTTTTGCTCACCATCTTTGCTGAACCTCATGAGGCGCACGTGTGCACATGCACACACACATACACACATGCACGCACTCAGAGTCACTCAGAGTAAGAGACATGGGGAGACAGGTTGGCCCAGATGAAGCTCAAAGAGAAGTTGGGCTGTTCCAGGAGCCTTCTTCAGTTATACCTTAAGCTTAAGGTGGGAGAAGTCATGTTTTAAGGAATCTCCAAGGATTATCCTTAATGTCTCCCTTCACGTGTCTAATAAGCACCTCTGACTTAATAGGTCCCAGAGTGTTTGATTCCAAGCCACACCCTCACTCCAAACCTGCATCTCTTCCCTACATCAGCTCTTTACACTATTGGCCAACTAATTGCTCAGACCGGTATCCTGGAGTCACCTTTGGTTCTTCTCTTTTTCCCTGGCCCAGTCCACCAGTAACTCTTGTCATTTCTGCCTCCAAATCTGATTCAGTGTAGTCCAAATCTGACCATTTCTCTGGTCACTGCTGCTGACCTCCTTCATCCAAGGTGCCACCATATCTTTTCTAGAAGTTGGTGACAGCTCCTAGCTAGTCTGTTGGCTTCCAATTTGTTCACAGGATTCATTCTCCACACCCTCTTCCAAAGTCATCCCTTCAAAGTACTTCTTGGATTATATCAGTCCCGTTTTCAGAACTGTCAGGTGGCTTCCCACTGTAGTCAGAACAACCCATTGCATATGATGGTCTACAACAGCCACTCCAAATGATGGTCTAAAGCAACCCACTCCAAATGATGGTCTACAACAACCCACTGCACATGATGGTATACAACAACCCACTCAAATGATGGTCTACAACAACCCACTCCCTATGATGGTCTACGACAACCCACACAGATGATGGTCTACAACAACCCACTCCCTGTGATGATCTGCGACAACCCACTCCAAATGATCCCTATGATGATCTACAACAACCCACTCCTTATGATGGTCTACAACAACCCACACAGATGATAGTCTATGACAACCCACTCCCCATGATTATCTACAACAACCCACTCCCTATGATGGTCTACAACAACCCACTCCCTATGATGGTCTACAACAACCCACTTCAAATGATGGTCTATAACAACCCACGTAGATGATGGTCTATCACAACCCACTCCCTATGATGGTCTACAACAACGCACTCCCTATGATGGTCTACCACAACCCACTCCCTATGATGGTCTACAACAACCCACTTCAAATGATGGCCTACAACAACCCACTCAAATGATGGTCTACAACAACCCACTCCCTTTGATGATCTACAACAATACACTCCAAATGATGGTCTACAACAACCCACTCAAATGATGGTCTACAGCAACCCACTCCCTATGATGGTCTACAATAACCCACTTTAAATGATAGTCTACAACAACCCACTCCTTTTGATGGTCTACAACAACCTACTCCAAATGATGATCTACAAAAACCCACTCCCTATGATGTTCTACAACAACCCACTCCCTATGATAGTCTGTAACAACCCACTCCCTATGATGGTCTACAATAACCCACTTCAAACAACTGTCTACAACAACCCACTCCTTATGATGATCTACAACAACCCACTCCAAATGATAATCTACAACAACCTATGACCCTGTCTACAACAACCTATGACCTTGTCTCCCTGTGCTCTCTCCCTTGATTCCTTCTTGGGCTCTTAGTGCTTTTCATTTTATATATACAACTCCTTCCCCTAGATCTTCTAGTACCTGGCTGCCTAAAAATGTACAAGGCAAAGGGTAAGAGCTCAGGCTGCAAAAGAGGACTGCCTGGGTGAAAATTCCAAATTCACCACTTTACCTGTGTAATCTTGAGCAACTTTCATAACTTCTCTGAGCTTATTTCTTCATCTAGAAAACAATGAAAATAGTATCTACCCAGAGTTCTTGTGAAAACTAAATGAGTTAACCCTATGTAAAGCACACCTAGCAATATTTTTCTTAAGAACTGTTCACCATTGTGATTATAACTATTAATACTATCAATATTATTATTAACAGCAAATAAATTATGATTTGAGCTTGGACTTTGAAGAGTCAGACCACCACTCACCATTGGCTATGTGAACTTGGTGACCTCTCTGTGCAAATAGAAAATAGAGTTTTCTTCTTTGTTAAGTAGAAATCTGACAAATGTAAGTGTAACTAATGGAAATTTATATCATCCTTGGAGATATTTAATTAGTTAATATAGATAAAGCACTCAAAACAGTGCATGGCACACAGCAAGCATTCTGAAGTGCTCATCCTTTTTTTTTTTTTTTTGAGATGGAGTTTCTTTCTTGTTGCCCAGGCTGGAGTGCAACAGCATGATCTCAATGATCTCGACTCACCGCTACCTCCTCCTCCTGGGTTCAAGTGATTCTCCTGCCTCAGCCTCCTGAGTAGCTGAGATTATAGGCATAGGCCACCACATCTCGCTAATTTATTGTATTTTTAGTAGGGACTGGGTTTCTCCATGTTGGTCAGGTTGTTCTCGAACTCCTGACCTCAGGTGATCTGCCCTTCTTGGCCCCCCAAAGTGCTGGGATTACAGGCGTGAGCCACTGTGTCTGCCCCATCACCATCATTATTATATTCTGATTATTATTATCTTCTTCCAAGTGTCTGTTCAGTCATTCTATCATCCAGAGACCCCTGCTCATCACCCTAGCCACTTTGTCATGTCAGGTTGCCTTGTTTTTCATCATTGCATTGACCACTACTTGACATTAGTACCTTCAGTACAGTGCTACACATCACTGATGGTCTCTCTCCCCTTCTAGCCTTTTCACCAGTGTGTCCCCAGAGACTGGAACATGGTGGGACTCAATAAAAGTCAAATGAACAACCATCACATTTTTCATGTGTGGAAAGGTTCTGTTTGCACGAGGACTCTGTTCCCTGGGATTGTCATGCTGCTATGCAAGTTCATGGCCACCCATCATTGCACATCAAACCTTAATGGAAGGTCTCAGTGATTTTCCCCTAAGTGCATTTTGCTGTTCTCAAATTGTTGCTGCTCGAGCAGCTGGCTGCATAGAAGATGGACCTCAATGGCAATTCTCCCTTGGCTCATGTGCTCAGACACACCCTCTCATATTTACCTTCTCCTTTTACTCATTGATTTGTTCTTTAATTTATTACTCAATTCATTCATTAACCTAGCCCTGATTGAGCGCCAACTATGTATGGGCCTAATGCAGAGTACTGAAGTTACAAAGATTCATGCGAATTGGTGCCCACTTGTAAGGAGTTACAATATAGCCAAGGAGGAAGATACAGAAATGGAGAATTAAAACGCAGTCGGTTTACTGA